GCTGATTGCAGTTGATGAGACCCTGGGCTTGCTGGATGGCAATCCTGGAGTCCCCAACTACAACGATGTCCTGAATTCCACGCTCAATCGCCAGAGTGAGGCCCTTCAGAAGTCCATGATACTCAGCGTCGTTCACAGTCACGTCCTCCAGGGTGAATCCCTGGGCATCCAGGATTTCCCACCCGGGAACATGCCATAGGATGCAGCCGCAGCTCCCCTGTCGCGTGGAAGTCTTAGCGGCGCCATCGAAACTCAGAATACACCCCTCGTAGTCCGTTTCCAGCATTTCCATACTGATAGGCACTGGAGGTTTAACGCGCCCCTTAGCTGGGATCAGGTTTTCAGCGATCTCATCCAAGTGTTCTCTGGGGGTAATACCCGCACCCAGAATTGCAGCCAAGCCGTCTTCATCCCGTTGAACTCTGCGTATCTCCAGGTTCCAGTGGGACAACTTCAGACCCCACTTCACCGTTCGACCGTCTGCCGACTGCGAGGTCAGCAACCACTTCAACACAGAATATCGCGTGTAGACGACGATCTTAGGGCTGCCTTCAACCACAGTGCGAAACACCTCCAGGACTCTCAGGAGAGCAATCACCTCCTTTTCCGCAATGTGATACGGCAGCTCAGCGTCATTCAAGACGCGACCTGTGAATCGAACCGGGTGCACAATCCCGTCGTACTCCTGGCCCAACACAGCGGATGCTGCCCACGGGTTCGCGTGGGGAATAATCACGAAGGGCCTTGAACGATCTGGATGTCTGAGCAACGGAGTCGAAACGATCTTGCGCTTCAGGATTTCAAAGGCTTCCTGGGCTCTCGACAGGTCTCTCCTGGATTTCACTTGTTCCTCAGTCAGCTCGTACAGAACGGCCGCGATCACGGGTAGATCTTCAATGAACTTGTTGTAGTAATTCAGACTCCCCATGAAACTCTGGACGCCTTTCAGTGTCGTCGGGAACTGCAAGTTTTGGACCCCCTTCGCGATTTTAGGGGTCGCTCGGATGCCCTCAGCACTAATCTCGTGAGAGAGGTACGGAATGGACAACTTCCCGAATTCGCTGTTGGGAAGACTCACAGAGACATTTCAGTAACGTAGTCGGAAGAGCAGCGCGTTCAGATCCTGGCACAGCTGCTCCCAAGTGGGCGCACCGTGGGCGATGTCGTCGATATACGAGCTTCGACCCAGGACAGGGCCCATCTGAGAGGGAGCCGGGATGTTACGCTGAAAAACAGTCATCTCATCCGTCAACACTGAAAGTCGCGGTGCATTTTCACCTGAAACTCTGGGTTCCCCAGAGTTCAACCCCAAAAAGTCCAAGACATCTTGGTCGACCTCAGCTTCTTCCTCAGGGGAAAGCCGCCGAAATCCCCACAGACAGTTATTGAGAACTGCCTGGTAGATCAGCGGCGTGTTCTTGAGGCCAAACGGCATCCTGACCCACTGGTAGTGCCCATAGGGACAGACGAACGCAGAGATCAACTTGGCTCTCTCGGTCATCTTGATAGCCCAGAAACCACTCGCCATGTCTAAGCTCATAAATCACATCGCCGACTCAAAGCCAATCAAAAGATCATCAATAAACGCCAGCGGATAGTGTGAGAGCTTGATGAAGCCATTCACCACGCGGTAGTCGATGCACATCCGGATGTCGACGCCATTCTTCTTGAGGACGATCACGATCGGAGATGCCCAGGGGGACGTAGAAGTCTCGATCAGCCCGTTCTCCAGAAGCTTCTTCAGAAGTTCATACACCTTAGTCCACAGGTGTGGTGCAATGGACCTTGGACGCTGGGCAACAGGTTTAGCGTCGCCTACATCCAGGTTACAAACCACTCCACGGGCAGGTGGGGGAGCTGCATTGCCGTCTCCCAAGAAGATCTTCCGATGATATTCCAGAATTCGCCTCACTTGGTCTTCCATCTCGGGCGTCGTTTTCCCAGGGATGCCTCCTCGATCTTGCACTCAGGGGTCAAGTCACGCATCTCAGGAAGCATAACCAACTGGTCACGCAACTGAGAGAGCAACTCACTTCCTTCACGTATGTAGACCGCAGGCTCGTAGTCGAGGTCCTCTGTCGAAAGCCGCATGCAGCGCTCATATTCCTGCTTCAGCTTCTCCAACGGAGTTCCCGGCATCCCTGAGATCGGGATATCCCAGTAAAGTCTTCAACAGCACCCTGAGAATCGTCGTCATTCACATCGAATCCCAGAGAATCACCTTCGTCGCACCACTGACCCTGAGAATCACTGCCAACTTCAACCTGTAAACTCAGGGTTTCAGCGCCCGTATCACCTTCAGGACTCATGCCCTCTGAGGTTCCGACAGTCTGCGAGGCAACATCGGTCACCGCCTCCTTCAGAACGTCACCCTAGTCACTCGTATCAACAGCAACGTGTCGGAGTTCAGGAGGGTCTTCAGGAGGCACTCCTTCAGTCTGAGTTGCAGCGTCTTCAGCGAAGCGCACGCGACGAGGCTTCGGTTTCCTGAGAATCGAGGCAAGCAGTGCCATGTCGGGGCCCTTTGCAGGTCGCGGCAGAATCTTCGTAGGCCACTGATACTCTGGGGTCTCGACACAGGATGGCTCAAGCGCAGCCAGGCGTTCCGCCCGAAGTCTGCCCTCACGCGACTGAACACTCTCCAGAATAAGCGTCTGCCACTCCCGATACGCAAACGAACCAGGGCGCACAAAGCGTCCGGCACGTGGGAAGAAGCCGTACTCCACAATTCGGGCGACTGGCGTTCTGTTGTGAATCCAGACGTCCTTGTCCGAGATGTTGACCACCTTCACGGCGACCGGCCAGGATCTCGCAGCGTAAATCAGGTGCGTTACCCAGCGGTCACCTCGTCCTGCCCACACAACCTCACGCTGTGGGTTCGTCAGTCCATACGAAATCTTCACCACGTTGGATTCCCCAGGGGCCAGATACCAACTACCTGTGGTTTCCACGGGCATGTCGACACCCAGGCGATCCTCTGGAGTCCATCCACACATCATGATCGCCTCTTCATCCGGAAATGTCACGAGACCTTCGCGAACACTGATCCTCACTCCAGCTGCAAACATGAAACTCATACCCAGAAGAACTTCGATCCCTTCGCCGATGTTAGCAATCCAGACATCCAGGAGATATATCACCCTCGAACCGAGAGTAATCTTCACCGGAGCACTGGCACCGATGTACGTCGGAACGCCTCCCATGCCAGACACCTTGGTTTGCTTGTGCGACTTGAGTGTGAGTCCGAGCTTACGCGCTAAGTCGAAGCTCACAATATTCACAGTCGCACCGGTATCCAGGAGAACTCTCGTCCGCTTGTACTCCACAATTTCTTCAGAGTTCACCGACCTAGAGTTCGCTTGTTCAGGATGCTGATTTTCAGGGGAAGTCATGAAATCCTGAGTCAGAGTAGTCATGCATTGTTGGTTATCTTGGGTTCATGTTCTCAGCTCCGGGCCAACATACATAACTCTGAGGCCTTCTTCAGCCCGGCGCGTACTGGGTCCCCACCCAGCGGGCTTATTAGTTTGACGGCCTCTCAGAGTTTGCTTCGCCATCCAGGAGTTTATCCAGGATTTGACTCGGCATGTCCTTCAGTGCACCTTGGCGGGTGAGTTTCTTCACAGCTTCCAGTGTCTTCCAGTCTTCACACGGTTTCCCGAGATGCAGTTTGCCACAGTTCTCGCACGGTTGCGCGCGACACAAGTGAGTCGGATGACCCACTTCCAGGCAGCGATCACACTTCACGTCTTTCCAGCAGTTTTCCTCTGGGTGCCCCCCCTTGCCGCACTTCTCGCAGAACTTGTCCCAATTCGGTTTTCGCGGCGAGGGGAACGGAATCCAGATTTCGCGTTCGGTCCTGGTTGGGCGTTCGGTGGACGCCATCCCATGTTATCCATCACGCGATAGACCTCGTTCGTCAGCGTCTGAGTCCACTCGGCACCCTTCATACTCGCCAGACTCCCAGCGCTAGGTGTAGAAGCTTCTTCTCCCGAGATCTCACGAGTTGACCCTGAATTCGCGCTCGCACTTCGGGCTGAAGCTCTGGGTTCGTCCGTGATTTCCTGGAAACGCGCGTGAATTTCAGGGTCTTCGTCCGACTCAGAGTCAGAGACATCGCCCCTAGTCACATACGCACGTCCTTGTCGCTTCGGCTTGAAACGTCCCTGAGGAATGTTGTCGGCACGAAAGTCACGAACTCTGGGTGGCGGAGCATCATGGTCGCTGCGGCTCCAGACATCTTCGTCCTGTTCCAGAGCGTACTCTAGATCAGCGATACTCCAGAATCTCTGGCCCTGCAGCGACGTCTTGAGGCGCGTGTCCCTGAGTTTCGTGATGAACCTCCGGATATGTTTCTCCAGGCGCTTCGAAGACTTGCGAAAGTCAATGTCAGCCATCCCAGCGGCGGAATTCAGACGATGAAAGAAATCCAGGGCGCTCTCTGAATTCTTCATCTCCATCGTGAAGTAACGTTCAGAGTACGACGAGCGCGCTGTGCAGTACTTCTTCCTGAATGCAGACGCCAACTCCTTCCAGTCACGCTGAGTGTGTTTGGGCAACTGGTTGAACCAGTCACGCGCAGCTCCCGAGAGTTTCAACTTGAGTTCCTGAATTCGCATCTTCGTAGACCAACCTAGACCAACCTCCCTGAGCCGCCATGTTCGCAAAACGCTCCCACCAATGCACGCGTTCCCTGAGTGACGCCTTAGTATCGAACTCACCCAGAGTATACTCACCCAGAGTATTCGAGTTGATGTACGGTCTGAACGTCAGGAGCGTAGTGCCAGCTTGAGCCGTAGAGGCCGTCGTCAGGTTAACCCCAGAGTTCCCGTCCGAACTGTCATCCGAACTCTCAGAGGACGAGTCATCATCACTGGAATCGGAGCTTGGGTCTGAGTCCGAGGGTGGATTGACATCCTGACGCTTCTTCTTCCTTCTTCTTCTACCGGTGTTTCTTGGGTGCAGAGCGCTTGGAGTCTGCTTTAGAGTCCTGCGAGGCCTTAGAGGTCGCTGTTCTCCTGGGATCCGACGTCTTCCCGAGAGACACAGGCTCGAGCTTGACACTCTGCGTCACCTTGGTCTCCGTAGCGCCATGTCCCCGCTTGACGCGCGCGATTCTGCGCGAGGGTCGCTCTCAGCTGGGAGGCGGCGACTTCGGGCGTGTTCTTCGGATCAGCTGTCTCCCGTCTCTGGCCTGTGACACTTGCGTTTCCGTTGATTACGCCACTGGATTCTTGGGGTCGGGTTGCAACTTCAGGGTTCTGAGCCACTGACGACCTCACATTTGTTGCCAAATCAGGGGTGACGGTTGCGCGACGCGCTTGAACTTGGGCCAATGTTGCACGAAGGTCGCGCACTTGGCCGGCGTGGAAGCGCTGGATATTCTCGGAAGACTCCCGCTCTCGCTCTTTCTCCGCATCAAGTTCTTGGACCTTCTGCTCCATGGTTGACATTTGTTCCTTCCAACCGGCGTAGGTCTCGGAAACCTAGCGCGCGCGCTCCGAGTCGGCTTCGGCTTCGTGCTGTTGCCAGCGCTCGGCGTAGGCGGCATCCAGGCGCTCACGCTCAAGACGTACAGCTTCCGTGATACTCTGGGTCATCCCCTGAGTTTCAGTGGAACTCTGGGTCTGACGATCCTCCACGTCCTGCGCCCGCCGTTCCGCTTCTCCTCGGGCGATCTCAGCGTGGACCAAGCGATCCGTAAATTCCTGGATCTGGCGACGCGCGTCCAGGTCACGCTGTTCCCTGAGGCGCTCGCGCTCCAAGGCATCCAGGCGTTCTCTGGCGAGAAACTCGCGTTGCTCCTGTTCCATGCGGGCCTGCCACTCCTGCTGTTGTCGCAAGACGTTCAGCTCGATTTGGGCGGGCCCAGACCTCGCGGACACGGACGAAACTGATCCAAGATTCCTGGATCCACTCGAGCGGCTCGACGCAGATGATTTTCTGGATTTTGTCGAGCGTCGAGAGCGCACCTCGCTCTTAGATCTCTGGTGTTGACTCCGCTCATCGGCGCTGACATCCCTTGGACCACCAAATCCAGCAATCGGGGCAGAAACCCTGAGTTTCGGCTCGGAAGTCGTGGCTGAAATCCTGGAGAGACCGGCCTTCCTGGGTGCGATCTCTGGGTCAGAGTGCACCGACGATGCCATCTCAACGTCATCTTGGTCGACTGACACAATACGCGACGGGATGACTGTCCGGGTGACCTGAAATCCAAGACCACCGCCAGCTGCAAAGCCACCGGCACTCTGGGCCACAAGCGCTAGAGCTCCAACTCGTTGTCCAAGCGACATCATCGACGAAGACGAAGAGCTACCATAAGACGTTTGAACGCCCGAGGCAGTACTCTCATCCGAAGCGCGCGAGGTACCGATGACACTTGGCACCGCGCCTGGGGTAGCGTCCTTGGCTTCCGCCTCCAGAGAATCACGTCCATTGGACATGGAATTCAGGGGAGTGGAATTCTGAAGCGATGCACCAGTCGAAGACTTGTACGCTGGAAGAGAGGACAGCGACGGTGTAGACAGCGCGGATGGCGTTGACGGGACTTGTGGCCGAGGCGGTCCATGCTGAGTACGCTTGGATCGTGGCTCACCATCACTCGACCCTCGTGGGCTCCGTGAAATCCTGAGTCCAGTGACTCTGAATCTCAGGACAAACTGTCGGCCCAGTAGATCCGCATCGTAGTCCGTCATCAATAGATCACCGTCTCCATCTTCCTTGTGGTAGTCCAATCTTGGTGCTTGCTCTTGGGCGCTTGGTGCGGCGTGATCTTCAGAGTTTACCTTGAAAGGCACACCAGCTATCACCAATCTCCACTCGACCAGTTCCACAGCGATAAAATTCTGGGTTCCTCCATGACAGAACGCACCAGACTTTCTGGAATCCTGGAAGCACGCGTCGAAGACCAGCCAGGGATCAAATTGACAAACTCAAATCCGGCTTCGAAGAACAGAGTCTGCAGAATGGCGACGCACTCGCGGGTGGTCATGATACTCTGGGGAATCGTAGTCGCCATGCGATCCTGAGCAGTTCCGACACCCCACCGGGCGAGGTGAAACTCAGAGATCCAGGCTTCATCTTGATTCTCCAGAGACAAACGCCACTTGAGGTAGTTTCCCGTTGCGTACGCGGCCGCGAAGTACGAGTTGGCATCTGGTTTCGGAGTCGGCCACTCATAAACGACACTTGGCGGCGTCACCTTCCCAGGATTCACCTCTTCCCAGCGTCGAACTTCACGTCGAACGTACAGCACCATGCTCCCGGCGTCCAACGCCGCTGCTCCCGATTCCGGAGCAGGCGCAGCAACTTCCCGGATGTCGCTTTCAGGCGTTTTCCTGGGTGCCGCTTGCGAACTTGGCGCTGAAACTCTGGGTTCAGGTGGTGCGAACCCAGAATTCACCTTGGAACTCTGAGTCTTCGCCTTCTCCTTCGCTCGCACGGGCTCCGACTTCACTTCCACAACAGACTCATCCGAAGATGAGACCAAGTCAATCACCTCCGGGGGCTCAACTGCATTGGCGCCTCCCTCAGACGCCTGAGCACCACCCTCGCGGGTGTGCTCCTCTGGGACTTCAGGAATCCGCGACCCAGAATTCACCTCCGTCAAACCTTGGAGCCCAGGGGAAACTTCTTCCTCCTGAGTTTGCGATCCAGCAGCAGGCTGACCTTGGACTGCAGACGCCTCGACGTCCCCACCTTGTACTGCCTCGCTCTCGCGAGCAGCCTTCTTCGCCTTCCGAGCGTCGCGGACGACTGTTTCCAGGTCCTTGTGCTCCTCAGGCTCCATATCTTGAACACGACGCGACTGGCGTGACGCCTCACCGCGTCCTCCGTCACCGCGTCCACTCTTCTTCGCCCCTCGCCCTCCAGGCATCTTGGTAGCTTGAAGTTGACGGGCACTCAGCACTTCTTCAACACTTGATTCCGGTGAAATCCTCGACAATCGAATCCGGGCACGCGCACCAGCTGAGGCGAGGCCGATGAAACCTTTATCGCCCAGGGGGGTTCGTATAGCGCAGCCCAAGACTGTTCCCCAGGGGTAGACCCAGAGAATCGACTTGAGAGTCAACAGCAAGAAGATAGACCCCAGAGATTCGCAGCCGCAAAGCTTTAAACCCTGAGAATCACACTCCTTGGTTGGCGTGGGTACCTTGTGTAATCCCTGTCGGCTCGTTTGTCTTCGACGGAACGGCACTCCACCGGTTGAAAATGTAGCCTCGAAGAAGTGCGGGAGCGCACGTCTACTTCAGAACGCACCTCCACACAAAAGGCAAACCCAGAGAATCAGATCCCCTGAAACCCAGAATATCACGAATTCAGGGTCCAGGATTTCAGTCAACTCTGGGACTTGGAACTCAGAAGACACCTTACCCAAACGCCCTCCTAGCTCGATAAAACCAACAAATACAGAGTATACAAACACTACAACTAGCCGTCACTTATTCTTTTGGACCCTTGGACGGTGGGTCACACACACACTAGGCTCACTCGAGTCTGCAATTCAGGGGCCTAGCTCCCCTGAGACTCACACAAACGCGCACCACCTCCAATAAAGGAGGAAAATACAATCACTATCAGTTACCTTCCCTTCACACAAGCAGTCAATACAAAATCCTGGAGGCGACTACCTAGCACCCCAGAATACCCTCTGGAGTAATATGAAATGGGCTACCACGAGCACAGCAAGTGACCCAACTAGGATATGGAATAGATGGATCACCCCAGGAAGCTCAAGGCCGTCGCTGATCCCCACCTAACTGGACTTGAGTTTGATGGAGCCCACACAGACGGCTGTCCTTCGCCGTTGATGTGCCCTTAGCGTCCCGCGGTCGTAGTCTCGGGTCCTCCGGATTTCTGTCGGCAGGCTTGGCCGAAGTCACTTGCGCAGTACAGGGTAAAAGGAACTCTGTTTGGTTTTTATCAGCTACTTCTCTCTCTCTCTTCTTCGGGCAAATATCTTCTGTTCACTATGTTTGGGGTCAAAATGTCTTGTCTTGAGTATACCTTGGGATCAGCGGTCCAAACTTGCGATCGGCTTGCGAATCCATTGTCGCACGGCGCCGAAAGTGCCAATAGTGGGTCCTTAGACTTGGTTTAGTATGGTGCAGGACTCCCTCTCGACTCCTCGAAAGTATCCAGTCTTTGCATCCACAACGGTTCTTCAAGGTCACGCATCACTTTGATTGCAGACTGACTGCGAACTGACTCGAATCCCTGAGAATCAGGTGACACTCAGGGTCATCTTCTGAAATCCTGGGAACTCTGAGGAATCTTGGGGAACTGTAGGGATTCTTGGGTGTTGGCTCGGGAAACACTTAAGTTCAGTATAGAGTCTGGATTTATGGTCCAAACCCAGAGAATCATCTTTGGAACTCTGGGTCACCTGTACTCAGGGAGGTGAACTCTGGGTCATCGTGCGGCACTCTGGGTTTCCGTGCAGCACTCTGGGTAACAAGTCTGCTACATTGCAGGCCTGCGTGCATCTCCACAAAGCCACACTTTTAGCGGGTTTAGCGGCCTCCTGCGCATGATCACGGTGGTAGTGGGTTGATTCTCAGGGTAATTTGATCCTCTGGGGCACTCTGAGCCACAGCAAGATGAGGTGTACTCTGGGATACATTCTCCAGAGACACTTTCCGCCAGACTTTAGGTACTCATCGTAAGGGAAGCCCACGGCTGGACTGAGTGTTCTCTGAAATTCTGGGCGTGCACTCCCAGGATTCACACTTCCAGCCAGTTGGGCCCATCTGCGGTCAGACGCTGGATTCATCCCGAGAAATCATTTCTCTCCCACAGTCGCCATCCATGTCACACGGGTACAGCCGCGCCGTATCCAAGTCATCCACCAATCAGCATCCATACAAACTCCAGGTCACAGAGGTGACGGCACGTCGTCGGCAATTTTCTGGGGACCGCCTCGTGTCACGATACCCAAGTGTCGACTCTGCCATGCCCAAGAAGAGCGCAGGTTTAGCACGCATCTCCAATTTGTTTGCTTGCTTCTCCTTCGGGACATGGTAGTAGGCCGCGCACTCACACACCTTCACGTTCTTCATGTCTGGTTTGCGATCATTCAACTTCTCATACGGCGTCATGTCCGTCAGAGCCTTGGTTGCACTCATGTTGTCGATGTGCACGACGTAGTTCAGGATCTCACCCCAAAGACATACAGGCAAATTGGCGGCTTCTCGAATAGCACGGACCTTACTCAGCAGCTTTCCATTGAGCTGCTCCACCAAACAGTTCTCCTCTGGGGTATACGCGTTGGTGGTGAAGGGCTTGACACCATGCTCACAAAAGAACGTAGCCAGTCGGTGGTTCAAAAACTCTCGTCCTTGATCACAGGAAAACATCTTCACGGGATAGTCGTTCTCAAGTTGAAGAATCAACGTCATCTCATTGTCGGCAGCTTCACTCTTCTTGTTGAGCAAATAGACCCATTTGTAGCGGGAGGCCTCGTCCTGGATCAGCTGGAAGTACTTGGTCCTCCCCCGCGTCTGAATGCCAACGTAGCAGACATCGGACATGAGGCGCGCACCGCACTCAGTAGCACGCTTGCCGACTTGACGCTTGAACGCCACCCTCTTCGCCTTTGCTTCCTCGCACGCCATGCACTTGAGTGCTGTCTTCTTGAAGTCGTCCATGGTAAGTCCGTTCATGCCCTCAGCCAAACCGTCTAACTCCATCTTCTTCATGGCCGCTTCATTCAGATGCGCAAGTTTTAGGTGCCACTTCATCACGATATTGTCCTCGAGGGTCTCCACCGAGCGAACAACCATCATAGAAGCTGTCAGTACGGGGATTGCCTTCATCCAATAGAAGCCGCCTCCTTTCTTCTTAAACTCGAGACGAACTCCACCCTTGTCGAAGTACTTACACCGCAAGCGCTCATTGTCCGTGTCAGAGTATGAAGGCTTCCAGCTCTTCTGTTCAAGCAGCCTCTGACTGACCAAATTGACTGTCCCTCCAGGTGCATACCGAACTGCATGAACTTGCCAGGCTGCACTTCCAAACGGACCAGACCCGAGTACTCGTTCGTGTCCACACCTCCCTGCCAATCGAGAGTCACAAGTGGATCCTTGACCATTCGCACGAACGAGCCTCCATGCACGTAGGCATGAGCTCCTGCCCCGCTATCCAGCAACCAGTCATGGGCCGAGGCTGCCGTTGGTACCTCAGCCTGGTTCTTGACCATGCGGATCGGCACCGGCGGGTTATTAGAGTCTCCAAACTCGCCCGTCCACACCAACCGCATTGGAGCCGCGTTCTTGCTGCCATTACCGTCATCGTTCAGCTCCCCAGGCTCATTACCCTTCTTCTTCTACAGTGCCTTCCATCCAAAACACTCAGCTCGCAAGTGCCCCTTCTTCTTGCAAAAGAAACACTTTCGGGTCTCCTGGTCACCGCTCACCTTCTTGTTCTTTCCTTTCTTGAACTTCTTTTTCAGGTTCTCAGCAACAGGACGTTGAGCCACCAGCTTCGTAGCCTTCACGACTTCCTCTTTGGCAGCTTCGGTAGGACACGCTTTGTCCGTCTCAGCTTCACCAAGCAAGACATTCCTCACAGTAGCCAGATCTGGCGCAGCACCACCATTGTTGCGATCGAACATGCGAACTACATTGCGATGTGAAACTACGACGCCTTGCAAGATCACCTTCACCATTTCCTCATAGGTGACAACTTCATTCATGTTCTCGAGCCGGCGTCGCATATCGTCGAGTCGATCAAGGTACTTCTTCATGTCTTCACCGGGCGTGTACTTCGCCACATACAGGTCACGACGCAGGCGAGTGTCGCTGGCATAAGCTCATTTCGTCTTATCCTGCTCGAAAGAGGTCCACATTTCACGAGCTGCAACCATCTTACACACCTTCTTGGAGTCCTTCGGCAGCATACCAAATAGCAGTGCATAGCGAGCAAATTGTTTCTTCTCCACCCAGTGCGGGTCATTCACATTAGCCACAGCGTTTCCACCAACTACATCCCAACACTCGTGTTGCAACAGATATACCTCGATCTGAGCGTGGTAGAGGTCGAAGCCTCCATCTTCGGTGTACTTCGGTGGCTTCGAGCCACATGCGCGTCTCGTCCTCGCTCCACCGTTTGCCGCTTGCTGTTGATGCTGCTGACCCACTTGCTGCGGCTGACCAGCTGGCTGCTGCTGGCTAGCCTGGCCACCCGGAGGTGGAGTCTCAACCATCGTCGTAGACGCCGACTGCACTCGCCTTCACTGCTCCGATCACTGCACACCACGTCCAGAAGAAGATGCCCGAACAACACGTCTTGGGCTCATAACCTACGAGAGACTAGTACTTGGCCCTCCCCGGCGTCTGAATGCCAACGTAGCAGACATCGGACATGAGGCGCGCACCGCACTCAGTAGCACGCTTGCCGAAACACCCCCTTTCGGTACTCAGTGACTACTGCGGCTTACCTTGTAAGCGAAGGAGGACCAACGGTGGCCGCAATCCAATCTCAGAAAGCTCCGCAGAGACTTTCCAGGATTCCTTCATAGTCACAACCACTCACAACTAGAGCTCTTCTTATTCATTAGCATCTAACTGGTACCAACGGCCTATCAGCCACCAAACTTGTTTGTCCTGCCGTTGAAGTCTCGTAACAACGAGCTGCTGTTGCTCGCGCCCGACGACTCACTACTCCAGCAAGAGCGCGACCAGGACCAGGAGCAGCACAGCGAAGACGACGATAAGGAGCAGCTGCAGGCCCGCCAGCGCGAGGACATGGATATGAACTCGCGCACACCCATCGCCTTTGAGGCGGATCTGCTGGCGGAGCGCACGCTCTTCCTCGTTACACGCAGCTCGAGCTACGCGGCGCTGATCGCCGGTAAGCGCCACATGTTCTGGATTCAGGTGCAGGGGGCTTCAACAGGTCGCCGCGCGGACCCGTCAACGTGGGCGAGGGACTGCCGGCGGGCAGCATCCTACGTGTTCACGTGCAGCGTAGCGGTGGTCGTTACAGGATTGTGGACCGCGTGAGCTTCAGATTCGGCAGCTCGGGGTACAGCAGCGACAACTCGGACGAGCTGCGGGTCGTGGCGTTCCCACTGTTCCAGTCTGTGAATTAGTTCATGAAGAGGGGGAGCTGCCACCATCGCCGACTTCGGGAGGGCGAGGAGCAACGCAGACTGACGAAGCACACGCCGCTCGGCGCCGAGAAGTACGAGCTCGGATCCACGCACACCTTCGACAATCTGGCGCTGGGCAGCAAGGCGGACGACTACAGTGGTGTCGTGAACACCATGAAGGGAAACCCATGCGAGGACCCCGTCACACCGCTTATACTGGGCACGGCGCCGCCGCTGTTGCACGTCTGCCACTCGTACGAGGCCGACGACTCAAGTTGATGTTTTACAAGCAGTTGGCAGTTTGTTTTGGTTCCAAAGACGCAGGATTTCGATGAAGACCTGAAGCAGTAATTACTCGTTGAAAGCTTCAATGGAGAGCAACTGGACAGTGTTTCAACTCAATGCCGAAAGCACTCAATTTGAAGTCATAACAGATTTTATGGTTAGCAGTAGTCAATATAACATATGTCAGCAAGTGACGAAGTCGAGGTTTTGCTAGAAAATGGCGAATACCTAAAGCTGGGGAAACCTTCGCTGGAGCCTGAGGGTGCACGCTAGAGCGATTGAGCACGTAACTGTGGGTATGTGCTACTATCCATCAATCAATGAGTAATCTTTCTTGAATGCGTAACAACACCCACCTGCAGAACGCAACCACTTCTATTGTCAGTAGCTCTGCATGTACGTGCTGGTCCGGCTTGGGGCGGTGCAGTAGGCCGCGCGTTCAGGCAGCAGACGATGACAGCATTGGCACAGAGGGTGAGATGCCGTTGCTAACCACGAGCAAGCATGCGACAAGAGTTCGGAATGTTATTTCAATGCTGTCTGAGCATCCCGACCTTGACGAAAAGTTCCTACAGGACCTCCGCAAGCTGCAGACACGGGTGCAGGAGCAAATACGTCGCGAGAAAGAGAAGAAGACCACGCAAACTTCGATTAAAAGCTTCTTTGTAGCTTGCTAGACTCTTATCAGATTGGTCCAATCTTGTATCGGATACTTCTCCGGTCCGGAAAAGAATTAACAGCTAGGTTTTTTCATAAAAAACCTCGAAACAATCGATTTATGATTGGTGATTTGTATGGAAAAAAACTCAAACATGATTGGCTGTTTATCAGGCGTTGGAAGATTCGATTGGTTATGACGACATAAGACCTCTTTCAGCTTTCTAAAGAGTATTTTTACGTTCAAATCTGATCATTTTTGATAACGCTGCGAATTTAAACCTAGCACACCTAAAATTCGACCATTTAAACTGGCCGATACAGACCGCAATGGCGGGAAAACGCATTTAAAAAAAACAATCAGTGCGATACAGCAGACAAAGGGCTTTACGCCAAGGCCAATTACAGCTCTGTTGGCGTAGTAGAACGTGAATTATGGTCGATTATATGAACTGTAAATTCTTTTCCGGACCGGAGAAGTATCGCATTTGGCAGTTATCAGATTTACTCCATACCAGGGTTTGGTAGTAGTCAGCAGAGTAGTAGCTATAGTAGTGATATTACCACTACTACTATAGCACTGGGTCAGGGCGTCATAGTAGTGATATTGCTATAGTAGCGAGATAAATCACTAGTAGTATCAGTAGTAGTGATAATATCCGAACTTCAACCCACGTCAGATCTTCGTAAAATTGGTGGTTCTCAGCCCCCGCGCTTTGCGCTCCCTCGTTCATTTCTCGAAACTCGGGCGGGGGAACAAGCAGTTAAAGCGCGCTAGGAGTGCTGTCCTTCGTGGAAGGAAGCAAAGTCTTCATCGTGCAGTACCGTTCGAGTAGTCCGTCGACTTCTCAAAACGGTACAGCTGCCAGCACACATTATCTTACTTGGCTAATACTTCTACCAACAGGTTCTGCAGCCGCTCGCGCCCCAGCAAGCTCATTAAAACTGACAGCGACGCGGGAGCTCAAGAACCTTGGGATTGCCGGAGGAGCAGAGTCACTATAGATAACAGCATCTCCGACCGCATCATCCATGGTGTGGAAGCTCGCCGAACTACAAGGAGCAGGTATGTATGCATATTTTCTGCTGTGTGAACCGGGAGACGTGCTCATTCTCGTGCTGACTTCAGGGATACAAATGCAATTTTCGTGTGGTGATCCTGATGCGTGTTTGACTTGCTGTTGTGCTCAAAGCTGCTGAATCTCATTGTATAGGTTGTGAATTTATGAGACTTACTTATATGGTGATGTCCTTTGTCGGCGTTACTTGTCAGCTGCTAAACTTGCTCAAGTTTAGCTGGGGCGTGGTTGTTCAACAGCGTTCCTAGAACGTGTGTTCCGGCTGGTTACTTCAAAAATTACAAATATCGAGTAGGCAGACCATTTACAATGCGGCACAGACGTCTTTTACTCGCGCGCAGGATAGCCGCCGATAGTGGGAATTGCAGTACTATAGTAGTGCTATAGTAGTGCTATTAGTAGTGGTATCTACTTTTGACATTCTTCGAATACTAATAGTAGTGTTAATGTTATCGGCTCTGAGTAGAATATTAGTAGTAGTATCACTGCTCCATACATTTGTCTTAACTACCAAGTCGGTGGATTGACTTCGTATCCGATATAGCAATATATCCGATTTGTCAGGTATCCGTTAGTAGCAGGATTGTCTGCAAGTAATACTCGAAAACACGTGCTCGAGTTTAGAACAATACAGATTTAGAATTAAGGTCGGACCTCTCGTAGAGACAGCAGGTCCTACAATCTGGGAAGCACCGATTAAGGGTTGGGTGATGCCTCGAGGCCGGTAAGTGCAACATGGTAAACGAGGGTCGGAGAAGCGCTACGATAAACCAACGCAGCGCCTCACCGAAGCAGTCATGCTTGCCTAACTACTACTGCCGGCTCCATCCCACTACAGGCAAAGTCGCAGCGTGACGAAGAGCGTTTCCTACGACGGAAACTCCGCCGACGTGATGGTCGAGTTGCAGTTTTCGCTTTCTCGGCATGTCTCATGCGAGCATTTACAACACCGTGGCGGGCTGGAATTCCAAATGTGTTCCTAGTAGGAACTTGACTTGACTGCAAAGCCGGCGGCGGTGCTCGCGGGCAGACCCATGGCCAGCGAGCCAGATGCACCCGCAAAGACAGGTCGATCGACAAGATTTGCGCACCAGCAACTTTGACGGACAGAACGCTTTCGACGCCTGCCGAAGTGCTTCTATCCACCAGCGAGGATAGTGCGCGGCAAGTTGTGAGCGCGTCCAGCAGGACGCCTACACCTCGACAAGATGATTGTTCGTTAAACAAGGGCTTGCGTTGGGATTCATCACCGCAAGTCATGTACGGCAGGAAATCGTGAGGCTGGTGCAAATCAACCTTTTGCCTGACAAAAGTCTCTGTTCCAGTTGAGACGGAGGCACCGACCAACACGAAAGTCGGGCTTAATCGAAAATCTCCTCCACTCAACGAAGTGATCTACGGCTGTAGGTATGCACGACACTTCCGCAAACTAGCGAGCGTGTCCACCACCATCAACAACAGCAACAACTCAACCACGCAGCAACGTAGTCATTCTGTCGTCAACCACTGCGGCCGGCCACCACGACGCAAAAAGTTGCCCTTTTCGTCGATTTAGAATCTGTACACGCGGATTTAGTATCTGGAACGCCTGATGTTCTCCCCATCCGCTCCTCCAATCACAGACGCTGCCTCAGTTTCCGTTCAGAAGGCCTCCGAAAAGCGCGAAGCACGCCGCCCGGAGCACTCCGTTTAGTTCGTGAGAACCAGCACCAGCACCGCGCGGAGCCTCAAGTCAAGCCAAGCCCTCGTACACACTCACGCACACACGCCTAGACACACGTTAAGCCGCGACGATGCCGTTAGGAGAGAAGCTGGGCCGCCCCTTTGAGATGCTGTCGCTCATCGGCCGCAAACGCAAGGACGAGCCCGACAGCAGCCACCACCGCATGAGCGGCGCCGACGCGCGCGCGTACGCGAACGCCACGGGCGCCGCCACCTCCGGGTACACGCACAGCCACAGCAGCCACAGCCACCACGCCAGCAGCAGTAGCAGTAGCAGCAGCTTCTACCCCGCCGTCAAGTACGAGCGCATCACGCCGGCCGCGCAGCCGGCGCCCGTCGTGCAGTATGAGCGCCTCACGCCCGGCTCCGCCGCCGCGCCTGCGGCGCCCTCCGTCACGCTCCCGTCGCCTCTGGACTACGAGGCCGCGGCGCGCGAGGCCGCTTTCCCCAGTCCGGACCTGGTGCCGTCCGCCGCAGTGGCCTCCAGCTCCTTCCGCTCCGCTCCGTCCCCGGCGCTATCGTCGCTGCCGTCCCCCGGCATGCTGACGCCGCTGACCCCCGCGGTGGGAGTCACGCCCACCCCGGTAGGACGCAGTCCGGTGGTCGACACGATCCGTCCGTTGCGTCCGCCGCGCAGCGCCCAGGCTCAGACTCAGGCCCTACCTCAGGGGCAGAACTTACTGAGCCCGGCTCAGCCTCCCGTCGGCCCCGCGGCCGCGCCCTCCGCGCCCTTTTCGTCCGTGATGGAGGAGTGGATGAGCCAGCTCCGGACGCCGACGCCCGACGTGGCGCTCTTGCCGTCGCCCTACGACTTTAACAAGGACACCCCGACGCCCATGGACACCAACAGCATGGACATGCGGCGGCTGCAGGACGCGCTGCTGCCCACCCCGCCGCCGGACGTCCACGACCAACGCCAACACCCCAAGAACTCGGCGTACGTGACAACACGTGGGCCTCGCCCGCTGCTCGAGGACATCGCGTCCTTGTGCCGTGATTTGAACTCGCAGGATCTTTCGGCCGCTAATAAGGGAATGCTGCCGTCGTCTAGTGGACAGATGGAAACCAAGTACACGACGCTGCCGGCAAGGCCGCTGCGTGCTCGGGAGGAAAGCATCAGCAGCGCCTACTCGGACGACGGAGACAGTCAAGCCAAGGTGCTCGCGGCGGCTGCAGCTCTCAGCAGTGTGTCGTCCATGGGAGTCGCCAGTACGCCGACGGCTGGATCAGGAACCAAGGGCAAGCGACGGAAGATGTGCACGGCTGAAGGCTGCCAGAACTTGTCGCGCTCGCGAGGACTGTGCAAGGCGCACGGAGGAGGCCGCCGCTGCAGTGTTGAGGGCTGCTCGCGCGCTAGCCAGAGCGGCAGTCTGTGCATTACCCACGGAGGAGGCAAGCGCTGCACTGTCGATGGCTGTGTGAAGGCGGCGCAGTCGCGCGGTATGTGCAAGGCTCACGGTGGAGGTGTTCGCTGCCGTGTGGAAGGATGCTCCAAGAGCTCGCAGGGCGACGGCTTCTGCCGCTCGCACGGCGGTGGTCGTCGCTGTGGCCACCCCAGTGGCTGCTCCAAGTGGGCGCAGCGCAACGGCATGTGCATGGCGCACAGCGAAGGTAAGTACGGCAACAGCTACCGTGGTCGGCAGCACCGGATGGAGCAGCAGGAAGCCGTGGTCCAGCAGACCTGAGTGTGAGCGCGAGGGCAAAGCGCACACTGTTTACCACGATCGAGGAGCCAGGAGGTTTTTGCCAGCGAATCGACTGGGGCGCATGAGCCAGCAGTACCAAACGAGGAGATTGATGAAGGCAGCGAGGTCTCCCCTCGCACTATTGAGGGAGCAAGCATCAAGCCCACGAATGAAGTGGGCGGTCTGCTTGATTAACTGTTGGTAGTCCGGCAAATGACCGACGAGACGTAGCGTCGCATTGTTCACTTGTATACATTACTCTTTAAAGTTCTGTCTGTTTCGGTTGGAAACACGAGTGCGACCACGAGGTCTGTCGGAGCCAAGATGCATGCCAACGCTGATGAGTCTGGTCTACTTCAACTTGACGCTGGGCCTTGATCACCGGAAAAGCTGCACCACCTGATTAAAATTTTAATCGCGGAACGTCAGGTACTGGACATGTAGATGAATGCTTGCGCCCGACTCAGGGGGATCAGGTACACGCTTATATTATCTTTATCTGTAGAGGAAGGGGTTCAACACAGCCACCAATACGTTACGAGCCCTTTAGTGATCTTCGTAGTAAGCTACGCGCGCATCAAGCGCAGCGCCAGCGAGCCAAGTCGATGGGCGGCGAAGACCGCGTTTGGGACTGCGAACGTGGTTGTAGCTGTCGACGCGAGCGCTTACACGCGAATAATCCGGTTTCTCGTCGTCGATCAGGTGCACGGGGCACGCTGCTCGAGTGCCGATTTTGTCCAGCGTCTCGAGGGAAATGAAGGAGTTGCGCTTGAGCTGGCCCTTCGGGGGCGGCATGCCTGGGTCGGCTTCCTCGCGGTCACAAAGATCGTCTTCCCACCTCTCGGGAAAAGCAACGTGCTTGATACACACGCTCAGCGGTCTTGTGCCTAGCTTCATGTCGCTCCTGTATGCAGCAAAACATAGCACTGTTAGAGCAAGTTTCAGGATTGGAGGAAGGCTAGGTAGACGTACACTCGGTGATAGGCGTCCGTGAGGATCGTCGGCCGCACGAACTTCTGCTTGATCTTCATCCGTGATGAGATGGTGCCCATACTCTTCTTGCGCTGCACCTCGGGTGTATTCTTGAGAGCCGTACGCCCCGCAAGGCCACCGCCGCGCAGTAAATTCTTCACCGTCGCGAACGTGACGGATCCTCGCGATCGACCCATTGGATCTTGGCGCAGCACGCACGACTTCTTCTTGCTTGAGCGTCTCCGCTGCGTCGTGCCAGCTCGCGATGCCCGGAGCTCACTAAATTCATCACCGCTGTCTGGTCCTTCCGATTCTCCACCGGTAGATGCTGCATTACCTCGAAACCACAATGGATTGGATCCAAGTGGCCGGTCTTGTGGAGAGCTGGCCGGGTCGTTAGCAGTACCGGATTCATTCGCCAGCCCGAAACGGTTTAGAGAATACAAGAGCTTGTGTAGCTCGGAATCTGTAACGAGCGGGTTCATCGACTGCTGTTGATCTCGAACTGAAGGAACCGTCGACGCATCCGATTCATAGCTGGACTGCCGCTTCAAAATGCCTCGAGGGACAGATGCAGGGGCTGCGAAGGATACTGTGCGACCTGGAGCGTATTGGGGTGATACTGGAGCTGACTGCGACGACTTGAATGGAGAAAAGCCTCCGTGTTGGTCTCGATATCCGTAGGTGCCTGACGGGTCGTCCAGAGGTAGTTCACCTCCCTTGATGAAGGACGCTCGCTGCGGTGACCGTGAGCTGTCCGACTTCAGCTTCGATGGCGACGTAGACCGCTGTTGGAGAAGGAACGGGTTTTCTTGAGACTCGTCAAACAGGTCCGTGCTCATAATTGCCAGCACATTGACGCTACCGACGGATCCACAGTACGCCATCACGCCTGTAGTTGTAGCGGATAAAAGTTGATGCTGCCCCCTTCGCGACGTGTACGCCGACCACAAGTGTGGCTCCCGCTTCCCTCCAGTCAACTACACGTGCGTCTGCTGTTGTCCGAAGCGCTCTTTTTGTTGTGCTGGAGCATGTTACCAGACTTCCTAAAACACCCAACCTTCTTCAGAGCAAGAGTCTCGGAGGCCTCGTGGCCGTCCTCGCGTCGAAGGTTCCTCCTCCGAGTCTAACCGCTTCGCGGGTACATTTCAACCAGAACGACGGGAATAAGGTCCCAAGCCTCCAGTTCCCTAAACCGCAGCTATATTTGTTTGCTATCATTCCTCGACTTCGTTGTAGTGTATGACGAAGAATGCCAGCCGGAAGGCTATCCAATGCTCTTGAACATTGAAGCCTCTATTGCAGTTGACGTCGGACTATTAGCGCTTTTCGTTCGCGCAGAAGGCTGTGCATGCACTTTGAAAGAAAAGCGAAGACGTTCGACACCAACGAAGTCATAGAGTTCATTATTGCATAAATACTCACGACAAACTACTCAAGGCCTCCTACTGATCCACTCTCACTGCTATCACACGCAATTAACTAAAGCTGGCTTGGCGGCGCACATTTTCATCGTGCGCCGCAGCCGTCGTGCTTTTCTTCAATCGGAAAGCAGATCCAGAAGCACTTCTTAGGCCCGTGACTGCTGCTGGTAGGTCTTCGCCTGGGACAGCATCTCCTGCAGGAGGAACCGCTGGTGCGCGATCGAGTCCTCCACAGCCTCGACAGTAGGCACCGGCTGGCCATTCGCGCTGACCAGCGTCGGCGGCATACTCCGGTTGGAGCGCGTCATCTCCGTGGTGTCCACAGTGACAATCTCCTCATCCAGTGAGCCATAACGGGGTGCGTCGCTGCTGCGGCGGTCCATGCTGATGGAGTTGGAGCTGCTGAAGCTCGTCTCGCTGGCGGTGCTCGAGACGCTGCAGTTGTTGCGGCTGGCCTTGGCGTCCTCTAGAAGCTTCATATCGACGCGCATCCTAGGAACCACCAGAGCTCCGCCCTTGCCGTGCATCGAGGACGTCGTTGATACCGAGGTCTCCGAGTCGCGGCGACTGCGACTGCGATCGGAGGACGAGGATGTAATGAAGGAGGCCGAGCCGTACTCGGACATCGGGATGGCTTCGCTCTGGCTCGACACCATGAGGATGCACTTGGTGCAGAACTTGGTCGTCTCGCCCACGGTCCGCGTCACGATGCAGGACTTGCACGCCACCTCGCCGCAGCTGCGGCAGTTGATCTTCTTGGACAGCATGCTGAACTTGCTCATACACACCTGGCAGTTCTTGCGCGACGAGTGCGGCACGAACTGCCAGTCGCTGATCATGGGCAGCCTGGCCAGCAACCGCTCCTGCACAATGATCGGCAGCTTGCTCAGCATCGTCGCCACGTTACCCAGGAAGGAGCTCACGAGCCACCCGGGCAGGTTTTCGGGGTGTCGTACCACTCCGTCCATGATGAGCTCCGTGTGGCTGGCCTCCTGCGTCGGCCTCAGGAGGACAACTTCCGTTAAGTCAAGACGCGCCAGACCGTGGGACTCCTTGAGCGAGACGCACTCCTTGCGGTCCACCGAGTGCTTGATCATGAAACCGACGGGGATCCCGTCCGCGTCCGAGGTCACGCCCGTGTACTCGAGGAAGCACATGTCCCGCTGGTAGATGGGGCTGTTGTTGCTCAGGTTGATGGCCTCCCAGCGGATGGAAATGTGCTCCTGCATGTTCTCGGCGCTGCGCTCCTTGAGCACGCACAGCGTCTGCGCGTCCAGGCTGTCGTGGTACAGCATCTCGCGGCGCTCGACCACCTGCGCCGTCGAGTCGGCATACATGATGCCCATGAGGTCGTTGAGCGACGCGCGCACCGTGCCCTGCAGACGGTAGTGCAGGTCCCTGCCGTTGTCCCCGAACTTGGTACAGCGCTTGAATCCGGCGTGCGAGCCGAGCTGCTTCCACGTGCGGAGGCTGGCGTTGCCCGCCTGTCGGTCCTCCCCTGCCTTGTTCAACGCGTCATCCAGCAGACTCTTGGCTGTGGCCACGTACTTGTGCATGTCGTCCCGGGTCATGCGCACGCGGCCGAAGTGGCCTCGTCGGAGAGGCAGCTGCTGCTTGGGCGCCTCGTTGCGCCTCGCGATCGCGTGCGCGTCCGCGCGGCTCAAGTTGGGGGCCATCATCGTGTTCATTGTGTCGCTGGCTGCACCGCACACACTCCGCGCGCGGCTAGCAAGACTCCGTTCGACTGACAAACGAGCTGTCTCGATTCGGGCCGAAAACGCAAACTGAAGGGCTCCCCTCGGGGCGGGGCGGCGGTGCACAAAGTCGGTCAAGCGCACTGGCGCACGGAACCAAATGGAGCGAGAGAGCGCAGAGACCACGCGAGATTTGCAGCGGCTCGCATCTGCCGGGTTATCGCGTTCAGGCGGTACAGAGCGCAGGGTGACAAATCCGCGAAGACTTGGTGCCGAGCCTCCAGCTGGCGACCTAGATCGACCGGAGACTTGAAGCGAGCACTGTTTCTCTACCAGCAACGACTTGTTGCCAACGCGAGTGATCCCTCGGACAAGCAAACGCTTGGCGACAAGCTCCGCCCTCGACGCCATCATTGAGCGCGCAGGAGGACATGGTTCGTCTTGGAAAAGGCTGGGCTCACGTTGCACGTCCCAATTCGGTGCGCGGTCACTACAGTGCAGTGTTGTATCGATGCAAACTCTGTTATGCCGCAAAGCGTGCTGAGTACAACACCCGCTGTCCCGCGCACACACAACGCGGCGGTACATGTATCCGATCGATAGATGTACCGAAATCGTTTGACGCGCTACGTTGGACGCGAGTCAGTGGAAATGCTTGCCCGTTGAATGGCCCACTCCGGAGGACAATACCAATGCTGCGTAGTGTACGCAAGAATTACCCGCCCGCAAGTGGTGGTATCATAGTGCACCGTACCCGACATTGGGAACTGCATCTTGCGGGAGTGACCTCATTAGTTCCCGCACTAATCCTGGTGGTGCCTTTCAGCGCTTTCGGTCCGGCCCCGAAGATGCGGACTCGAGACTCGGACGAGCAGCATAAATGCACAGAACGAAGGCGGAAAGCAACACGCCGGACATGCGTCAGCGGCAGTCATCTTCGTGAGAACGTACAGCGCTGGCTCGCCGTTTGGTTGTCCGAGCCGCGATTCCAGGTGGTTTTCAAGTGTCGACCCTTACCTCGCGTGCACTGCACGCGTTGGGCCCTGCTGCACGGCGTACAGCAGGGCCCAACGCGGCAGTGCCGCCGCGCTCGTGACTCACGCTCAGCGTATCAATACTCTTGGACAGCCCGGTTGCTTGCTTCACCGCTTTCCGACACACGTGTGACGAAGCTGGCCGCGCGCTTGAAGCTCGATCCTCGCGCCAGTGGGAGACCTACACTGGCGTGCATGCACTTGGCGCCACCGAAGTGCAGGTAACACTGTACATGTATTACCTTACACACATGACGATCTTGCCGATTGCGGCCATGAAAATTTGCAAGCGACCATGGACGGAGGTTTGTACGTTTTCCGCTGGTGGCGAGGAGGCTACAGTTCGATCGTCGGTTGCACATGTTGTGTACAGTAACAAAGCATACCAGAGTTTACCAGTTTCTCCGCACCTCGTCATCTGCTCGACTTGCAAATTGCTCCACTGTAGTTACGCTGGACGGCAGTGGATGGCATTGGCTACAGTACAGCGCTCTAGAATATGCCGGATGTGCTCTAGCTTTTCGAGTCTACATTTTCTTTCTTGACTTCACTGCTTCAGTACACGCTGCAGTACACGAATCGTAGTCAATCTTTTTTACCGATAGTACATGTATGAGAACTATCATGTACATACTGTAAGCCCAGCGGTAAAGCCAGCGAAGAGAGCAAGACTAGGAAAGCTAAAAGCTGGCACACATCCGGCAGCTGGAAAGCGTACGCTTGATGGATCTCTGATGGCTCTCCGCCAGCTGTAGGCTTACTTGATGTCCTTGAAATTGCAAGCGTCAGCTGAGGATGTTCTCCATGCCGCCGGCTCTTCAAGTTGTCACGCTCAGCGCTCGACGGTGTCAGTTCGCGACAGCATCGTCGTGCAACACGGCGGCAACATCGCTTTGTAGTTCATGTTGGATGCTGATCGCAGAGTACAGTGGTAGAATGTCCAGAATGTCCACGCGACAACAACAAGGACAGAATGTCGTTTCGTATGCATGTGTATTTTTCTTTTGATGCTCGTTGGGTACTGTACTCACTACTGCGCGTCGTAGGCGCGTCCTCGAGAAGCGCGATCGAGTTCCATAGCCTGTCTCCCCAAGCAAGGCAAGCACATAGCAAACACGCAATCAGCATCAAGAATACGAAGTGCTCGCTATCGGCGCGAGGATGCTGAGCCGCAATCCAACGGGCCATCTGCGATGGACCTATGTGGCTCGAAAATGTTCGGTTGCAATCTCTTACCTCTCGGACAACGTTATCGACACGGTTGAGATGACTTTGACGCGGTGGCCGCTTCCTTTTCCCCTCCGGTTTGTTGAGCACCATTTTGTTGCGCATGGCAGTCGTCAGGAAGGGTAGAGTTAATATTTTCCTGCATCGGGAAAGATTTTTCAGGCTGGTTAGCACGAACGCAGCTCCAGGATACATATCCTAGCTTTTCAACAGGCACGAACCTGTCGTTTGCGGGCATCTTGAACCCAGCACGGAACACAAACTCGTCGTCTGGGCGTTCGTAGTCCTGCTCGTCAAAATTATTTTGGTTAGTATTCCGCAAAATATGCAAACAACAATTATGACGATCTTTGCGACGAAGACTTACGAATTCTGCTGGCAGGGTCGGATTGATCGGCTCGGGATTGACGACATCTCCGGGGAGTGCTCCAGCTTCGCGGATGACTGTTGACACAGGTACTGGCCGGCTACAAGCCACACACATGACGGGCTTTGTGCCCATAGCTGTCGAGTCCCCATCCGTCGGCTGTAAGAGCATGAGTTCGCCACGAATGTCACGCAGTGCCACCTCAAAGCGAATCTTCAGCTGTTCCATCAACTCTCTTCTGAGTCGAGCCAACTCTTCGGTTGTAAACTCACGAGCGTCCTCAAGCCGATCGTCCACCTTCTGCGCAAAGTTGTCCAACAGCAATCGATAGTTGACATTGGCGTTGGCCGCGCCGCCGATGCCAGGCCCGCGCGGTCCGCCCTTGTCGGCATTGATGATCGCGGACACCTTCTTGGTAACTTCCTTGATGAAGTTGTCATAAAACTGCTTCTGGCCTTCGGCTGAGTTGTAGAGTCTGGTGTCGAGCTCGCGTCCCGTCATTTGCGAGTAGAGATCCGTTAGCACGTCGCCCTGCTTGGCTGCAGCCTCTACCATGCTACGTCGGTCCACGGAGACGAGACTGCTGCTGCTGATGCTGTTATTGAGGCTGCCTCCGTTGCCATCGCCGAGCGATTGTGTCGAGAGTTTGGCAATCTCCGCGTACATTTCCTTGCGCAACTTCTCGATTTCCTCCACGACAAGCTCTGTCCGCAAGTTGTTGGTGGAAGGCGCGCGCCGACTGACAACAGGTGCGGTTCCGTCTGTACCAGCGTTGCTAAAGCTTGTGTCCGATGCATTGAGGTGAGCAGTCAAAGAGTTCAATCGCTCAATGTCTTCTTCGACCATCGCAAGGCGTCGGACTGCACCGCTGAGGCGAAGCTCCATCTCTCGTAAACTTTCGGGGTTACGCTGGTGGAAGCTGTGTCGACGTTCGTCGTGTGCAGCATGGGTGTCAGCACCAGCATTGGCACTAGCGCTTAAGTCACCACTTGCAGGTGAACCACCACTGGGTTGACCACGCTCAGCGTTGAAGTTCCGGTGCCACATTGACCACAATAGTTCAAGCTGCAGTAGGGAGCGCCAACACAGCCTCATTAGCTCTGGGTTGAGAATCAAAGACAAACAGCGTAACAATGTACAAATGACAAACCTTTTCGCGCATCGCATCGAGCCCCTTGATCAGCGGGTCATTCTTCTTCTCCGTCGTGATATTTACCTGCAGAGTCGCGTCGATCTCTTCATCCAGGTACCGCAGTTTGCGTGTGTATTCCTCTTCACGGTCTTCCTTGTTAGGCTCACCCTCGGAATTCTCGTTAGCGTTATTGTAATCGGTAACCCGCAACGGGACCACCCCCAAACGAACTGCATTTTGAAGCTGCTTTACTTCGTCTGAGAGCGTCTGCAGTGTCTCCGCAATACTCAACGGGGAGTTGACGAGCGGGGCTATTGAAAGTAGCGTTCGGTGGTAGCAGCGCTGCATCTGCTGCAGCGCGTGCAGTGTTTCGTCGTCGCAGTTTCCCTGTAAGAGTTTGTCCTCCGTCAGTTCAAGAGCCTTGCGCCACTCAACAAGCTGCGGCTTGATGCGATCCTGGAATGTTTGGTTTCGTGCCAGGAGCTCCTTCTGCATTGTCAAGCGAGCTTCCACCAAGTGAGCCTGCAGGTGCTCATTGAATACCACGTTGTTGCGCAGTGCATCCAACTGCTCTTGCTGGCTCTGGGTGGTCCCTGAAACCCCCTTTATACTTTGCTGTAGCGAGTTTAGCGATGCGTCAGTGGACCGCCGTAGGTCCGCTAGCTTCGTGAAAACAAGCGAGAGATCCAAGTGCGGTTGGGAGATGGCCTCGACAGGTTTACCAGCTTGTCTTTCATTTTTGTCAGATTTTCCGGAACCCTCGGTCGATGCATTTTCCTTCGCACTTCCATCTTCTGTTCCCCCACTCACAGATCCACCAGTCGCATACATTGACGCAACAGTCTGCTGCTGCACACTCAAATCATCCAGACTATCGGCAAGAGCCTTGATATCTGCTGTGTGTTTTTCAACCGCCTCGTCGTGATCTCGTAGTTTCTGGTCGTGTTCATCCTGCACAGCCTTCAGCTCTTTCAACTCGTTCAAAATGTCGTTCGTGGTTGCTGCAAAATCTTCCTGCTTCACATTCTTTTCATTCTTCTGCGCCTCATTCACACCGGTGGCCCCCATGGCACCTTTTTCAGGGTCTAGACCTGATGACGGCGCATTCAGTTGACCCATTCGACCATTCAACGCTTCTAGCAGCTGATCATGCTCAGCCACTTTGGCGTTAAGCGCATCTTGTAGCCCCTGCAGCTTTTCAACTTCTTGTTGTAGTTCCGCCGCGGACGCAAATGGTGCGCCTGGAAGCTGAAATTTCCCAGTCGCTCGACGGGATTGAAGACCTCGAGGCGATCCATCGGTTGATCCACCAGCTGCATCAGGCTCGCCCTCAGTTCCATTCCCGTCCAGGGTATATTCTCCGTCTTCGTTCTCGTCACCCTCATCGATGAAATCTTGGCCAAATGCGTGAGCCAAAGCCCTCTTCATTTCCTTTTGCAGTTCCTTTTTGGCTTCATCCAGCTCCTTTGCCGTCACGAATGGCTGTCTACCTATACTGCTCGCTCGCGGAGAACGTGGAGACTTTACAGTCGGAGAAACTCCACCCGATCCATCCTTTTCACCACCTGGCCCTTCTACCGAAGATTTATCCTGGTCATCGGTAGCGCCCTGCTGCCCCTGCTGCTCTTCTTGGTCCTCTATCGGCGCTAGTCCTTGAATTTCTTCCAATTGGTTCTGCATCTCGCCGACTTGATTTTGCATCGCTTCCATCGCTGCTGCAGCCTCCTTCTTTTCATCTTCAGCACGTGCCAGATCACCGCGAAGGGCAGCGACCTGGTCCTCCATCTTCTTCATGGCAGCATCGTTGCCCTGCTGCGTTCGCTGCTGCTTAGCCATGAACGCACCGAGAGCTTGCAGTACTTTCATTAGAGGATCCCAGGAAACACTGTAAGCAATAAGCTCTTGCTTCATCATAGACGCAAACATATCTGCGTCGAACCCATCGTTGTCTGTCTCTGGAGAACTCAAAGCAGTCTTGCTGTCAGGATTCAGGCTTCCTTCGGCACCTACTTCACTCTGCTGCTGGCTGTCCTCGTCAGCAGGAACAGGTTCTTCCATCCCGACGCCAAAGTCCTGTTCAGCTTACTGCTCACTCAGCAACAACGATTCGCCACGCTCCCAGCCAAAGCGATTGAACGCGTCGCTATAACTTCGCGAGCCCCCGCGGAGGCGTTTCATGTCCAGGTGCTATTTGTGCATGGTGCTCCTGCCGACTATTTCGAGGGAAACACAAGCTGAAACATCAGTGTTCACCACGCTTCATCTGCGGGATCTGCTGCACTATTATTCTCTGCAAATGAAAAACCCGTGCATCGATGATGGCACTGATCTCCAAAATCTAAACGTGCAATGCATTCGGCTTTTCAAGTGTTGTTAGGCAGGTGCACCGGGACCAACAACCTGGAACGCCGACGACACGCCCGAATACGGGGTGACGGTTCTCCAGACGAAGTGTTTGCAGTCACCATTCACTTTGATACGATATTTTCCCTTGGGTGTGGTTTCAGGAATGAGCCACTCGATGGTTACCACGGATCGGAAGGTACCCTGTCGCTCCCATTTGAAAGTGGTGTTGGTGTCACCGTCGTCGGCATGGATAACCCAGACCCCTCCAGAGTCACCGCGACTGCTGTCCGACATCCACCGCTGCACCTCTAAAAATGTGCCTTGAGTTCGCAGATTATTCTTTGGGTGAGCTGCGTGGAAACACACTTTCACCGTGGATCCCCATCCATACGCGTTCAAGGCATCAAAGCCAGCAACCACAGTACCAAATGACACGCCAGCCAACACGCCGTCGTGAATCACTGGGATATTGTAGTCTAGCACCCCCATCCCCTTGATGCTTGGGGGCGGTAAACTACCATCCACGGCAAGTGTCTGCTCTTCTGACTTGTTTGAAGGCTTGTCGTGCATGGCCGTCGCGAGCAATTCGAATTGCTGACACGTAGCAACGAGCTGGTTGGGTCCGAAGTGTGTTGAAGCACCTTCGTATCTCTGTACGGCGTATTCCTCTCGCGTTGTCATGTAGCCGCAGTAAGCGTTACTAAGTCCAGCGATCACCGGCTCGTGGATGCTCTTGATGCCAGGCAGCAACTCGTGAAGCGATAAAGCCAACGAAGCTCGTAGGCGCCTCCCAGCCATTGTAGTCATCTCGAACGGAACTGCTGCGATGTGCAGGCAGTCAGCGATGGAAAACATTTGCAGCGGCAGTACTTTCGGGGACATGCCGTAGCGCGCTGTAGGGAAGATGATCGGCTTCTCCTTCTGCAGCGACTGGAGTTCCGGCAGCGTTGTCCACTTCGGGTACGTTCCCCACCGGATCCCTTCTTTGACTGCAGGCACGCCTCGTCCGTCGAACTCAGTGCCACTGACCATCGATACCCCAATACATCCTGATGACGTTGATGTGGGGCACTCGGCGTTCAATTGCCAGCGTTTCTGGAGCTGAATACTGCAGTAATCCACGTATTGATGCGCGAACTTGATACCACCCGCAATCGCGGGCGTCTCCAACGCTTCAGCATACAATTTCCTGGCGCAGTCAAGCTGCGCATTCGCAACTGTCACCATCCGCTCAAAGTCCTTGTGTTCCGTGCACGGGTTCCTCGGTCCACAAATATTGGGGCTCACATCTCCTTCGTTACTCTGAGCGAACGCCGCGACGAACGCTCTGGGGCGGTCCATCAAGTGCTTAGTGCCCTGCTCACGCTCGAACTCGTAGGCCGCGTATCCTTTATTATCCCCCGTGATCAGCGTGTACCAGTTGCCCATACTCGTGGGATGCACCGCGAACCAGTTGATCATCCCAATGGGGTACCCGTCCAGAGCGTCGAACCTCCACAGCGTCATGGTCTTGTCCGTGTCGTGCTCATACTGAGCTCGTTCGTGCTCTGGGTTGGCCATGTAGGCGTCTGTGGACCGGTTCACCGATGCCCCAAGACAGATTCCTGTGGCTACTCTGATCACCGCTGGCTGGAGGTTCCTGTGCGCTCTCACTACCGCCTCCACTATGCCGGAGACGACACACTCGAAGTTCTGTCTGTCGGCGCCGTGCAGCGGCGGGTGGACGCTGTAGATGAAGTAGTGCGACAGACCGCCGGGCGAGCAGTGCGTGTGGGTGGCGCTGATCATGACGTTCTGGCGGCTGTACGCGCCCCGCGGCAGCTCCGGGTGCGTCTCGAGCCGCGCCACGACCGTCTGCGTGACCCACTCGGACACGAGGCCGAGCTCGGCGCATACAAACGCCGAGTGGTTGCCGGACTCGGGGTCGTGGAAGGCGAAGGCTCGAGCGCGCAGTCGCATGTGGATGCCCGAGGTGAGCTGCCCCACCTTGGCGTAGCCGAACATGCCGGCCTCGGCGGCGGGGCCCGTGATGTCGAACATGGCGGCGCCGATGCGCAGGCGCTCGCCGGCGCCACCGTCCTCGGAGATGGCGACGGCCGTGTGCTCGGACGTCATTTGGCTTGAGTGGGCTGTTGCTGCAATGCCGAGGAGTATCCCAGACTGCGGAGAAGACGGCGAGAGTGATGGTCGGCAACTTCAAGGACCTGATTACGGTGCGATCAAAAGGGTTGAAGTGCGAGGGCTGGCAGCAGAGATGCGTTGGCAGAGGCCTGGACAGAGGAGGTCTAGCGGATGAACTCGAGCGTTGGTGAGGAGAGTGCCGGCGGTGGTTGCGCATAGATGGCGCCGATTCCCGACATGGCTACATTCCGAGAACGTTATCACGCACTGTGATTGGCTGAGGGTATTTTGGGTTTTGGTTTGAAAAACACTAGATTGGGCATGATAAATTCGGTGGTTTGGGCTGGCCTTTCCGCCAGTCGACCATGAGTTGCACCGACTTGTTGCTTCGAGCGAGCGGGCGACATCCACACCCACCCACCAAGTGCTGCGGCTTCAGCACCTGTTACACATTGACTCACTGAACTGGCGGCAGCTCATTTCCCGTGAAACCAGCGACGGACGTTTCCTCCTCCACGTTCGGGCTCAACAAAGCCAAAGCCAAACCCAACAAGAAATGCTGCCACGACCAAACACGGCCTTGGCGCTGGCTTCGGCTGGATTTTCTGCTTACAACTTGCGTTGCTAGCGCGCCTGTGTATGGGAGCCACACCAAGCCTGCATTGCCGAGTCTGAACTTCAGAGCTGAAGTGGAATCCGGCGGTAACGTGCGTGCTGCATTGCAGAACGCATCGCGGTTCGCGCATCGAAAAATACGAGTGGTGCGTTGTAGGATATTTGCATGATGAAAGCTGCGGTGTTGCCTGCCCCAAAAGGGAAACTCAACCGTCTCGAGACACTCGAGCCGAGGGCGGAAGGATCACACACCTGCGCAGACAAGACGAGCGAGTCAATTGACGACAGTTGATGGCGGCTCGCGGCCTTGCACGGTGCCGCCACACCAGCTTCTCTCTTGCATCGGGAAGTCGAGGCTCAGCAGACAGCTAGCTGTCCACTCGCGCAGCGGCCGCAGCGTTTATCGCCGATCGTCTGGGCGCTCTACGCCCTGTGCCCTTTGCCCTTCCTCTCTGATCCTTCTGGTCTCCCCTGAGAACCAAATCGTGGCTCCTTACGAGACGCCATCCTAGTTCTTTACTTCGATATTATTGTTGAGAACCGTTATAATAATCTAATACAAACCAATTTCAAATCACCTCTTTATAACGATTCCATCTGGTAAACCGATGTATTCGTATATAGATTACCGCAGGTTTTTCTGGCTCGTAGAAAGCCAGTCCTTTTGCCACTCTCCTCAGTGTCAATCGCTCCATTGCCGAGGACGGTCTCGCGGCTGCGGAGCCCTCGCCTCGTCGTCCATATGCGCAAGTTCTCTCGTGCCTCGTCCCGCGGCGAACAGCAGCTCCAGCACGACCCCAAGCTCCCCCCGGCGCCCAAGCCGCCGCCGTCGCTGTCGCCGTCGCCGTCGCCGCTGCACGCGGACGCCCCCAAGCTCGAGCCCATCAAGGCCATGGCGGGACTGCCGCCCGCCCCCTCGCCGCCCCCGATGCTGGCGCGCGACGACAGCTTCCAGAACATGATCCGCAGCCGCCGCACGTCGCAGGACGAGATCCGCGCGCTGCTGGCGCGCACCACGCAGGCGCTGGACAAGATCGTGAGCATCCGCGAGTCCATGGAGGACCTCGTGGACTTTAAGCAGTTCGAGAAGAAGGCACAGCGGCCGTCGCGCCCCTCGCGCGTCAGCTCCAGCATCGCAGAGCTAGGAGGGGAGCACGCTGGCCGGTCCACGCCCGCCTCGAGTTACCGCAGCACAGAGGCGTCATCTCTCTCGGAGGACCCGCTAGGGACGGACAGGTCCACGAACTCCACCACCCATTCGTCGGGCTCGGTGGACGATGACGGCGAGCACGACGTGGACAGGGAACGAGAGGACTTGATGGACTCAAAGAGGTCAGGCACCGATGACCAGCACGATCACGACTTGGAGGAGGTTGAAGACGGAGACACGTTTAATGACGACCCTACCAGCCACTCCATCGCCAGCTCCATCTCAACCGTCGAAGACTTGGCACCTTTGAAGGAGGCGCGACTGGACAGACTCAAGAGTATCAATATTTCGTTCCACGAGGGACTGCCCAAGGAATTCTTCCAGTCACTGTGCCGCTTCCTCAATTCGGCGCTGGAAGTCAAGACCCGACACTCGAGGTTTAACTTCTACAAGGAGGCCTTTACGGGAGGAGACGCCGTCCGCGAGATGCTGATCAGTGGCTTTGCTGAGGACCACCAGACAGCTACGAGATATGGAAACGTGTTGGTGCGACTTGGGTTTATTGAACACGTGTCCCGCACCGACGACCAGCTCCACAACTCCAAGGACAACTTCTACCGATTCACCAAGGTGCTGGATTATGACGACACGTCGGAAGCTTTCGCCTCGGACTCGGCTACGCGGAGACGTACGTCTATCAACGCCAACAACTACCGAGAATCCGTGCTGTCGAATGAGTCATCGGACATGGTTGAGTACGACTTTGCTACAGCCACGGATGAAGTCCACGCACTCGTGACTGAAGAGGCCTTGCAGGTTCTGGCCAAGGTGCTGCACAAAGTTTTCGAACGCAAGAACAAACTTTTGTTCTACAAGGGCTTCGTGGGCTGCTTCTTGGGCGCGGAAGCGGTCAACGTGATGCGAGAGATGCGCATCGCCTCCTCTCTTATCGACGCCGTGCTTATCGGTCAGGCGCTCCTGGACGAGGGTCTGATCGAGCCGATCGCTACGGCCGTCTCTACTTTCCAGGACAAGTACGTCTTCTACCGCCTCACCAAGATATCGTCTTCGTAACCAAGTCAGTCGTCTACCGATCGAGAAGCCAAGCGTTGCTGATGGTGCTGCTGGCGCTGTCGAGAAAGCCCACCTATCTGCCATGTGCATAACAAGGCAGCACGTCTCGCGCAGTTCACTTCAATTCAGCTCAGCTGGTCCAACGCTAAGTTGCGCTTCTTCGCTCGACCAAACTCTGCAAGTAGCTAGCAAGAAGCGCTAGACCCCGCAGCAGCAGGAAGCCAAGTTTTTTGTCGTTTGCGCATATTTAATTTAAACCCTTTGCGCTCCCACTACGATGCAGTCGTAATTTTTCGAGTGATCACAAGCGATACTTAATGAGTATCATCTGCTTGATTATACTAGCCGAGCGCCGCCGCTACGCGGCGGGGATTTTTAGTTAGTTGGCGCTTCACTCGCTATGCTCGCTCCGCTATTGGAGCAGACTGCCTACGTTTCGCTACGGCAGGGCGGACCCGTTCCGCTCGCCTCGTCGGCTCGCTGCACTACTCTCAATGTTAGGTTAGTACTACAGAGGCCGGGGCGGGTCCTGCGGCCCCGCAATATCGTATGAGGGGGTCGCCTTCGGAGATGGAGGTGCGCTCGGCAGCTAATCGGAATTAGTAGGAATCGTACTTAGTGAATAAACGTGACGATTTTGTGACGGACGGACAGCGCTTCTTAGGATGGGTCCGGACCCGAGTCATTATCACACTTGTGACCTAAACGCAATATTTATTTTTGGTATCGAAACCACATTTTCACAAGAGCACCATGGCGAAGAAGAAGAAGGCAGGTATCTCCATCCGCGCTTATGCTGCAGCATCTTCAGTGACAGCACGGCGCGAGACACAGACCCCTGTTCGGCAGGAAGCACGCCTTTCACGTCAAAATGATAGTGCACTTCAAATGCTCATGGAAGAGCGAGAGCAAGCCACCCTTCAGAAGGCTATCGACAGTCGACCAATTAATACAAAACGGAAGTACGAGGGCTATCAAAAGGAGTTTGCAGAGTGGAGCCAATCGATGGGATTTAGCGATGGTGTTACGGTCACTGGTAGCAAGCTTCATCTCTTTTTGGACACCCAAGTCGTAGGCAGAGAGTCGAAGAAGAAGAAGGGTAAAGTCATTGGCGCCTCAACGGTGTACGGCTACGTCAACGCTATTGTAGACCTATACAATCATCAGGTCGCCAACAAGATGAACGCTAACGATCATCCTCGCACGTATAAGGTGAAGCAACTGTTGTCGACTGTCCAGGCAGAACCTACGTCGACACGAAAGAAAAACTACACAGATCGCGGCGTGGGATCGCTGCTGGACGGCTATCAGTCCGAGGCTCAATTCACTCAGATTCGTGATACTTTTTTCGTTTTGGATGATCTCATGGGGAGGGCTGCGTTTTTGGCATCGCATTTTGGCTTACTACGAGGCGAACACATTCGTGATCTGGAGCTGGCTGATATGTTTTCCCAGGAACTTGACAAGGAGGGTTTTCAGCAGTGCATTTCGTTGGTCCTGCTAATCCAACATGGGAAAACGAATACGTTTGGAAAACGTCAGCATGTCGGCTTCATGCGCAATAAGGCTGTTCATTTATGCCCTGTTGGAGCGGTTGCTTTCTACTTGTTTGAGCGCTTTCATCTCAATAGTGAACCATTTCCCTCCTTTCGGAGATCGGAGGACTGGTATGACATCAAGTTCCTAAGTGGCCGAGATCGAAATTAAACTATATCCTACAACACTCACAAGAAAAGCTACGAGACTGTTTTTGATCACCTCGGCCTTACGTTCAATAAAAAGACTCATATCAACCGCCAACAGGGCGTACGACAACTGGAAGGCGGTGATGTCGACATCTCCCAAACTCGCCGACATGGCCGATGGGGCCTTTACACCGTGGAAGCAGTATATTCCGCTCCTCTGGCGCGAGAAGCGATTCGTGCTCTGTCAGGACACCCCCCCACGCGCACGTCTTTATTATTTGGAACGCGCCATTGTGGACCCACCCAATGGCCTCAAGCAACAGATTTTCCCTGGGCTTGAAAGTAACAAACAGAAGCTATTAGATGGTGAGTGGGAATGCAACCTCGCCGCTCGAGGGTTCATTGAATTGTTGGAATTCTTACGCACCGTGTTGCTTCAAGACGCTGCATTTTAGTTGACGTCCTTCCTGCTCGACTTCGCCGCCATCCGATCTTCGGTGGACCGTTTCAACAATTCCGCGCTCAAGCACTTGCTAGCGCTCAGGCGACGCAGCACCCGGTGGAAATGCAGCTTCAGCTTGCCATGCCAGTCCTGTAGCAACAAATTAGTACGCAGCACGCAGCAACTATGCAGCGGTTAGAATCTCAGCACTTGGCTCTCGTTGACATGGTGAAGCAATCCCAAGATCAGCTTGCTTCATTTCTCCACGGTGACGTCCTTTACCGACTTCTTCCCTTATCTAACAACGCAGCTGGAGCTGATCCAAGCCAGCTTCCTCTACGTGACAGCACTCCTGTGTCAACCTCGGTAAACGCGACGCTACAGCAACATTCACCTCAGTTAGAACCAGTCACAGTTCCCCAGTACAACATGAGCCGACGAGTTTCAACCGTACGAGAGCTTTGGACAGAGTGGCACCATGGCCTGGCTAGTCAGCCTTCGATCGAATACCTGGAGGAAACATTTGGCACAAAATGGAGAGCGTCATCAAAAGAAGCGAAATTCTTTTCCAGGCGTCGATGTGTCATCAATCACGTACGTAGCTTCGTGAATGGCGGTCTCTATGTCGACGATGCGATTGAAAGAGCTGATACTGAGAGGGGGAACAAGAGCATCGACAGTTATTCAAAATGGCTTCGCAGCAAACAGCACGATGACTTACATCATCAGTGTAATGCATTCGACAGTCTAATTGACCTCATTATCTGAACTGCAATACCAACATTTACATCATTAAATTAGTTGCCATAACTCGTTTCAGTCCCGATATGAAAGCGATGATGAGCGCGCACATATCGCTGCCTTCAACACGCGTCTTGTAGCTCCATAGTGCGGTTGCTCGACTGGTCGGGTATGAAGATGCCAACAGAGCTGCAGTGCTCGATGGCCATACCCAGATCGTGCCGCTGCGCACAGCACGTCTTGAGCAACAGGAAGAAGGGGATCCTCACAAAGGTACCGTCATGCTGACGACGAGGCTCAGCGTCACCCTGTAGGCGTTGTAGTGCTCCAAATATCGTAGTAGCTGCCCTAGATGTGCATGACCTGCTACTAGAGCCACCACCACAGAGTCACAATTAGCGGCGTCGTGTGTACGATGACCATGTTCACGACGACCAACAGTACGTACCGACGCGTGCTCGGCAGGCAGCGTGCTCGGCGGGCAGGGTGCTCGACAGGCAGGGTGGGCAGACGCGGGCACTCGAGCGCCAAGATGCCCGACGGCACGGGGTACGAGCGACGGGCAATGGCAACCATGAGATGTGTTAATGGCGCTCGGAGAAGGTTCGCCCCAAATTTGTAATTAATACTGCCAATCAAATCGTAGTATTTGGGTCATGACCCACCAACTGGTATCTCGAGGTAACACGCAAAAAAGCGGCTGTTATCCCCGGATATCAGGTCACTGCGTCATGACCGAGTCATGACATTTTGCTTTTTACTTCTCTGTCCCACGAATTTATGGGTAGTTAGCATTTTCCGTTGTTACTTAGCGCACACATCGAATTTAGAGACGCACCCTTGCCGTAAAGCTTATGCTGTTGCGCGTTCCCGTGTATTTTTTAAAGTTTGTTAACATGAGTGACTGATCAAATAACAACGGGCTCGCGGGCCCGAATTCGATGTCAAAACCATTTTATGTCGTAACTCTGCTCATATTTAGCGATAATTAACCGGACTTTTACAGAGCATCGATTATGATGTAAAGCCACTGGCGACAAAGCAAATCTACCTGAAAATACGCCCAAGACTAGTATTGTGCCTTGCATGCTCTCTGTCTAAACAACGACGTAATTCGTTGTTTTAGCAAATCACGGTGATTAGCCCATCATTGAGTTAGGAGGCTAACTCGTCGATTTAAGATAGAATAGCTGCTAAGACAACGAGTTAACGTTGAGTTATGCTCACTTTCGTTGAATGGCTGGAGTAAATCCGACAATACTACGGCCCTGACATTCTAATTCTAACTCGCTCGCTTTGTTTGATTGCTTTCTAGCCGATGATTAACATGCGTTGGCGATCTATCGCATTAAACTACGTCTACAATATTGAAGAACATTCCTGTTTTTATATCGAGGAGCTGCAAGCAGCTTTAAAGTCAGCGTTTCCTGCACTACCAAACATTTCTTAGTAGCAATTTTATACTGCTACTATATGTCGTGCTCTGAAATTCGAGCTTGGTTTAACGCGCAAGGCCACGACGAAGAGAGCGAAAGAAAACGTCCCCGCCGAAATCGGTGCTTACTATTACGCAAGGAGTTGGCGCCATTCTATCGGGGACCTTATCAGTTTGTTTTCTTGCAGCGACAACCGATTTATTCTTGCAGTGGCAACCGCTCCGTCCTTGCTCTGCGTTGTGCTTGGTACTGGCAGTTGATTAGCTTAACTTTAACTTAGAGTTAGGCTGCGAGATATGATCACCGGGAAGGATTTGCTCGTTGGTTTAGAGCCCTTAATCGCATGCCAAAGTTCGTGCAAAGCACAATAATTGAGCTTTGAATAAGCTGAGGTTCTATTCCTCGTTAGAACGAAATGCATCATATCAAGTGGTATTACAGCCAATCACCATTCAGTACAGATTTAAATACGGATTTACCAATAAACTCACACAGATTAGGAAATATTCGAAACCAGATGTTTATTGATTAAGAATCTGTGACGTGAGAACTTTGTAGCCATTTTCGACAACGTCACATGCCACAGTCATGGAGGTATTAACACCACCGTTGAGCACCTTGCGCAGGCGAGGGAGTTTGAAATTGTTTCCCCCCTCGTCAATGATAATGCATTCCATCACCTTTTGTAAGGTGAGGAAGCATTTTTCGATGGTCTGATATTGAACACTATCAAAGGCACTCTCTACTGCGTCAATAAGACCGTCGATCTGGTTCGTAGGCTGCCGGTACTGGATAGACTGGATACAATTAAAAATACCCAAATCCAAAATACAATCGGGGGAACGAGGCGGTTGGCAAACCATGTTTATCTTCCAGCCTTGTTCGCGTCCAGCATCCACCACCTCGCCGTGGTTTTCGTCTACATGGGGCCCAGCGTTGTCTTGTTGCACTCTTACAACCGTAGTTTTCCGACCTAAAATAAATCATACAAGTCGTTAATAATATCCAAGTCAAATACCCCTAGAAAAAAAACTTACCCGGTCATTTTTCACGGATTGCTGGAAACACTTTATCCTTGAGTAGCGATGAAGTCTTGTACATATTTAACCATTTTTCATCAATATGAACTACATCATACATAGAATGAAAACGATACAAATTCCGACCTAATGGAATAAATTAGTTTTTAAACATTTCCATTAATTAGGATAAATACAAAAGAATGCGTACCAATCGGGCGATGTACGTGTGCCAGAGCCCACGTCAACCTCTCCAGCTTATGCGAGTCCGAGAGCGCTGGCTTGACCCTGCAAATGAAGCGGCGTTGTACCTTGCGATTCAAATGCCGCTGTAGTGTCGATCTTGGGATTCCTGAGGCAGCTTCTAAAGCGCGCAGCGTCTGCCGCTGACAGAGCGGCACTGCCGCGACGCGCTCGGCAACTTCCTCGGCGCTGAGCCGGGTTGCGCGAGGGGGGTACGCCTTGCGAGGCATGACCAGCGCGGCTGGGTCGTCACGGAGGCTCCAAATCCCTTTGATCGCCGTGCGACTCAGCCTAAAGAGCTGCTTGGCGCGGGCAATTGTGCCATGGCGGAGGCGGCCTTCCCTACTAAGAGTAGTAAGGAAAACCGCCACCGCAACACGAGTCTCGGGCGAGATGGCCGTGGCGCCGGTTGTGCGAGGCATGATGAAGGGCGTCGGACTGGTACTTGACAGCTTCGGAGCAAATGGAGTTGTGGTAGCAAATTAGCGTCTGTAACCATCCATTTTACAATCGAAATATTAAGTTTAACCTCGATTAATTTTGACCAATACGATGGTATTAACACGTTAGTGTTGTGTACACCAAATTCAAATACCCATAAATTCGTGGGACAGAGAAGTAGATTGTCTTGCTTTGTATGAATGAAACGAAAGGTGCGAGTGGCAGCTTGGAAAATACTACTACAGACTCAACATACTTAAGTACATTTCTAGGCCTCTCCACATTAGGGGGTTTCAAAGTTGGGCTGAGCCTATAGACACAAGAACATAAACAGCTTTTCAGCCAATCAGATCGCGCTGCGGTTTTGCCGTTATGTCATGTTTTACTGACGCCAAAATCGAGTCCAAACGACCTAAGAGCCTATTGCGACGACTAATCTAGCCATCTCAAAGGCCTATTCCGCCAGTAGCGCGCGCCCCGCGAAGGCGCCAACTGCGGCTCCAGCGCTAGCGCCCATAGCGTCAAGCACACACCAATGCGCGTTGGCTGCGTGAAAGATGGCACGCCGCGCTGGTGCAGCCAATATCCGTCCGGCCGCTGAGCTTGGTCCAAGCCTCACGGCTGGTGCTAGACTTGATGCAGAAGCTGCTGTTGCTGACCTTGACCTTCTTCTGCTTTATGTGTTGCCACGCGTACTTGCCCTCGACGCGCTCGTGTCTCCTGTTGGCCTGAATCACGACGCCAGTGCATTTGTACTTACCCTAGACAACGTCGCTCGTCTTGTACTGTTGTGGACTTGCACTTGGCCTGGTTGCAGGTGCTCGACTTGACCTTCGTACACTTGGCGGAACTGCACAGCCGCTTCGGGGCTTATGTTTGCTTGCTGACTTGTCGAGCTCGGGAAAAGGGGGTTCAAAGTAACTTTTGAAACAGCCAATCAGGAAGTCTGGAAATTTTCATGTCTTCAGGGCAATGTTTGGCAAAATCCTACTTTGAAACCCCCTGATAGGGGGTTTCAAACACATCGCTTCTACTACTACTAGCATACAAATGCTAAGTGTCTCCACTGAATCTTAGAAACCGAGTTACCTACCACTAGTTTTCACACACTTGCGCACCTAAAAATACGTTTCGAGTTGCTTACAGTTAACCCCAGTCGGGCACTTTGCTAGGACAAACAAGAAAAATGGTGGGTCAACTCCGAAATTCACGGGACAGTATACCGTCCGTCCTAGCGGTCCGTCTAGGACTAAAATTGTGGTAACTGTTTTCTGAAATCAAGTTAAAAACGATTTTGTCCTCCCCGACTGGGGTTAGTCAATTTACCGGTAGTTCATTATATGAACTACGAATTTATTTTCGTGCTGTACATTACCGGAAAGGTCCTGCTAACAGCAAGCTAATTGCAGTGTTTTCCGCTTTCTACGAGTAATTTTAACTTTTTAATTTTTGATGTCCGGTTAGGTACGAAATTTGATTAGTCGAATTCAAACGCGATTATCTCAAAACCTCCAAATAGTGGGTGTCAGAATTGTCAAACTTGACTTGCGATTTCGTCACAATATAGTATGTTATTTTGCGCCGAAATAGCATTCCATTTCCCGCCATTTTGAAATCTCCACCTCTGGAGGTGGGTGATTTCCAAATGAAACGTGCATTTGACGAGGTGGTGCGATCCGCCAAAGGGCGCGCCCTCTCACTCTTCTTTTTCTCACTGAAGAGGAAAAATCGCAAAAGGGCCTGGCGTCGCCTACCCTTGCAGTGACAGCATCATCAAAAGACTTGGTACCGCTCTCTCTATCCCCCCTTCCCGACACACTCCTCGTGGCTTAAAGCACTCTGCCCCTCGTCAAGGCCCCGGGCGCCAACACAAAGGGGCGGTCGCCTCACGCTAACAGTACGTGTTTTTGCTTCTGCTAAGCTGTTTACAGTGCTAACGCCGTACAAGGGATGGCAGGGAATCACAAAGGCGCAGCTGATGGCTCCAAGGTTCATCAAACTGCGGCTGACTACAAGATACTCGTGGACTGGATTTCAAAGGAAGACAACTTCAAGGCCATCTATGGGACAGACAAGAAACCCAAAGTCGGGGGCCCACCCAAGCAAAGCAAGCTCTCGGTGTTCCAAGACATGGGCTGAACATTTATTCCTCAAATCCACGCACGAGGGACGCCGCACCTAGGGGGAGCACAACTCCAGAGCCGTTGGAGGACATACATCACGAAGTTCAGAGAAACTCTCGATATGAGTCTCCGCTAGACCGGGATGGGTTTGACAAATGCGGTTCTGAACAAGCTTCAAGCCGCCGGACGACTATGACCAAACGATCCTGCACTAAGCGGAAGCCCTGCGAGTCCGGCACGACGGCAAAAAAGAACGGATCTAAGAAGACAAGAACTTCGGCGCACCAGAAAAACGTGTCCCTTGCAGAAGCCCACCTGGAAGCCAGCCTGAAGAAGCAGGAGGTGCAGCAGGACTATCTCCGCGAGCAGCTTAAGTTCAACAAGAAGAAGTGGACCGAGAAAAAGTCGGCCATGCTGCAACAGCTGCAGATAGATTGTGACAGATGCGAAGAGGAAGCGAAGGCACGCAAAGCAACGGAGCGGCACCAAGTCTTCTATGCACTGATCATCCAAGGCAAGACGCCGAGCGAGATTAAGGAGCTTCTTCAAGTTTAAGATAACCAAGTTTAGGGCGACCGACGGACCCGCTTGCGCTGGGTTTGGAGAGTTAGTAGCGCTGGATGATTCGGGATCGTTTTGATGCATTGCTATTTATTTATTTTTGCGTAAGGTTTTCCGTTGCTTGTCGTGCAACACCATCAATAAAAACGTATACATGGCTACTGCTGATCTCATCTACTACGATTGTGTTAGGTAGAGAAGAAACCCTTATTCCTACTTGCCTCGATACCATTGGATAACTCCCTCCTCGCGACCCCGTGTCAGGGAATGCGCTTTCAGTCTGCCGCGGAATGGAAACGTGTCGTCGTCATCCCATTCCAGGTCGTCTTCATCAGAACTTGACGATTCTTCTCCAGACGAACTCCAGTCATCTGCGATATCGATCAGCAGGTTGTGCAGCACTACACAGGCATTTATCCAGCGCAGCACTCGCTCGATATCTCCTTTTATCTTGATCTGGACTCGCGGCTCTCTCAGGGACGACCATCGACTCTTGAGAACGGCAATAGTGTGCTCATTGACAACCCGCACATGTTAAAGGCCTCGTTGTCAGTGCCGGCTTAATTTTTCTTGTACGTCGGAACCAACGCGTTGTAGGTCTTGTCCGCAGGATAGGCCGAGTCGGCCAACAAGTACTAGCCTTCGCTAAAGAACTGGCGCTTGTAGCCGTAATTGGGCAACGCCATCTCGCGATACACAGTGCTATCAGCACATGAACCGGGCCATCCGCTGTAGAATGCGATGATGCGACGGTGGACATCACAAACAACTTGCCCATTTAAGCTGTACCGATGCTTTCTATTACAAAAGCACTGGCCATCAACCCCTGGCTTCTGCACAAAAGGGAACGTTGTCCCGTCAATAAACCCGACGCACCCCGGGAAGCCTTCTCGCCTCATTCGACGCGCTGTTTGGCTTCGCTCGTCTGGACTCGGCCACTTGATGTATTCATCGGACATGTCGATCAACGCAATCGTAATGCGAGCCGTAAAGACGTCTAGCGTACCCGTGCCAACTCCTCAGATCTTCGTCGTACGGCCCAATGACGACCCATTTGCAGTCGTACCTAGACGATCGAGTGTGACCGCTAGCCGCAGCCATATTGGGACTTGAGGGTGGTCGCTGTTATTCTGAAACACGCGGTGGTCCTTAATCTTGTTGGAGATGAGCTCAAACGACTCCCTGGTAGTGCGAGTCAGCTATCGAAAGTCATCATCGTCGAGGTTTAAGGAAGTACTGCCTCGCGAACTCGTGGCTTCTTGGCTAACTCTTGCAGTCATATACCGTCGAGACGGTAGCTGTAGAAGAATCTCGTGCAGCTCATCTACCGTCGACTCCACCGAAAAGCACTCGGCCCAGTCATCAAACGGAGAGGAGCCTCCAGCGTCTTCGTCAAGCTCATCTTCGAGGACCGCAAGGGAGAGGAGGTCGATCACCTCGGCAATGACCATCTGGCGGCCGCTGGTCTTGGGCATACTCGAAGAATCACTAGTCGTACCCCCATGAATTCTGAGACGCCCTCGACCAAACCCGGAAATAACACGTTATTTGCCACCCAAATAATATGCGATTTCGGAGTGATTTTTGTCAATTCTGACACCCCTAATGGTTCGTAAGCATGATTTTGTTTGGGGGAAGTTGTGTTTTGGGTCCGTTATTTTAAAATAATTCCGAATCGGGTCCATTTTGTTCGAACCGAACGTTTTTATGATATACATTAGAATTAAAAAGCGTACCCAAAGTGGATCCTGTTATCAAACTCTTCCCTGTTCTAAAGTTGTACCACGAGACATGAAATATTAAGTATATTTCCACTGTAGAAAATGCTTTATTATATAAAGTAAACACTTAACACAGTCGTTTAAGAAATGAATACGTCAAAACGTAGGACTACAACAATAACGATTTCTTCATTAAAAAATCTTATTCTTGTACACTACTTTTACCAGTCTACATATTCATGTACGAATGTTAAATGCAGTTTTCTGGCATGCTTATACGTAATTCAACGCGTTTAATGTATTTACTTGTAGTATAGCGCAAAACGGTAACGCTGAAACTAGTTTTAGCGTTTATAATCAAAAATAGAGTGTGTTGGTTATATTCTCTGAAATATAAAAGAAACTTTTTATCACTTGTTTGCAAGCAGTGAAATCTTATCTTGTGCATAAACAATTATTGTTTTAGCATTGAACATGACTTTTTAAGTGCATTAAGAAAAAAGGGACCGTAAGATTTGCAATTGGTCTACATGGTACCGATGGTAATAGATGTGAAATAGGTACAGGGTACACTTTGGATACAGGGTACCTAGGCTTAAAAAACGAAATGAACGTTTGATTCGAAAAGTACGGATCCGATTCGGAATTATTTTAAAATAACGGACCAAAAACACAAGTTCCCCTTTTGTTTGACACGGTCTCATTTATTACCCGAGAAACGGCCTTCCATAAGTTAGCTACCAATCTTACCGACACCTTATCGAGTGTCGTTATAATTTTGACCCGACCACAATTGCTTTTTCGTCCACTGCAAATCAACGGATATTTTTACAATTCTGATTGTTGCATCTGATTTCTATCGATTTTAGACGAAGCGTGAGCAGCGGTTTGACACCAAAAGCACAACCATTGGTTTAAACTATTGATTTGTTGGGTGCGTATATAATTTGGCTGTCCCTACAGCTTCACCCTAATTGGTCCTGCGACCTCAACAGGGTTTTTTAATGTAACCATTAATGAGGATTATTTTTCTATCAAGTTTAGTCGGGGCTATGTGCGTGCAAATCCACCCTGGCAGATTTGAAACTTCACTCAAAATCTGGTGTCACTCATAGCCTCCCGACCGGGCCTCCTTGACAAAATGGTGATGTTTGCGCTCTTCTTCTTCAGCACCAAACCTCTCAATGGGCTTGCTGAAACCATGGCTAGATCGCCCTGAATTTCCTCTATCGTTTGAGTACACGTAGTGCATTAGACCCTCACTTCCTTTTTGTATATCGGCCCGGTAATGAGGGCACTCCCAAGGTGATCGATCCGAGGAGATAAACGGACGCAACAAATGTGCCCGGTGAAGAATCAGCCAAAACGATGCGTCTCCCGAGACGCATCTTTGGCCAGGGCAAATCCTCATTGTTGCCAAACAATAATCCTCATCGATGCTCACATTGAAACTCCCTAATAGTCGTGCACCCTTGATAATCAATCCCCCAGTTTTGAAAAAGATTTTCAATTCCAACTTAAATTGAGAAAAGAGGGTGGATTCGGGAAGATCTCGGCAAGACGTATTGCGTGGTAACCGACTCACAGTATCAGCTTAAGATAGCCCGTAACCAGAACGTACGAGTCCGTACACCGTACGGACTCCAGGAGTCAACCCTTAACTCTTAACTGTGTGAATCTCAAACCGCATGTACCGTATACGCGTAGTCCTAAGCGTCGTATAGTTCTAAGGGTCAGTTAGTCAGTAGCCAACGAGTGACGTGTATTCCGAAACAGGTGGCAAATTACTGCATCGCTATTTTAAGGTTTTTGTTGTGCTAAAAAGAGGTATAACTAGGAGTGTGGGCCACTGGACACAGGAGCTCGAACCGTCGACGCAGGCGTGCGGGCCGGCAAGTTCCGCAAACCTGTAGGCTGCTGACCAAGCCTACGAGTGGCAGCAAACTCGCAGATCGAAGGAAGGCCTAGAACGTTAAGGTCTTCGAGCCTGGCAGCAGGTCCTTATCCCGGCCGAGCTCGGCGTGCCCGTGACGCACGGTATCAGGCTGGCCTGGCCAACCCCTAGTCGACGAAGTGTTCAACTCGTTTATCAATATTGGCGCGTAGTACTGCGAGGTGTTCAACGTGGTCGACACAGCCAAGGCAAGTTGTTCGACAAGCTAAAAAATGTAAGCATGATCGGCTTCAACGTATCCGCTCTAAATAAGTACATGGGCACGGTCACGCGGACGCCAGGAATGATAAGGCATTCCGGGACCCTATATCTTCACCATTTTCGACGCCCGCGTGGACGCTGTACGTGCCTGACCATGATCATCTATCTGAACAACGGCAGTCGTCCTTCACATATACTGGTGGAACGCAGGTGCGAGCGGCGGCACCCGCTAGATTGTAAGTACGTTATCAAGACAGCAAGAAACAGTTGAGTATCCTCCTCCCCCGAATTCACCTGCAGGGTCGTGCGCCGGCTCACAGCTTTCGATCTCCTCCATTGCTACTCTCGATACGCACGAAGTTCACTTCTTCTTTTGGAGCTCGGTCGATGAGCTAAATCGCAGTACTGTTCAAGATTAAAATGTGATTTGCTCTAATATGATGATGCCTAGGATTTGCAAATTTGTTTAAGGGGTGACCCTTAGGACTACGATTATACGGTATTTCTCTTTAGCGCGGCCAAGCCGCCTACGGTGTAAATGTATCCGGTTCACTATCTAGCATAGTGAACCCAAGTCATATGCACCATTAGTGGCTCTGAAGCCATGTGCTGGATCTCTCACTGATTTAGGTTAGACAGTGTGTACCCACTTCGCAACCCTTCAGGTAACTCTCGTGTAACCCCGTTACACCCTCCCCCACCAAACCGTGGACACGGGTGTTCACGCTGAACGGTCAACCACCGGGTCTTGTTCCGTCAAGCCTCCTTCTCGAACAAGTCAATCCACGTCGCGTGGACTTGTCTGAGAACTTCTCGGCGCAACGTGCCCTCACGTGACTTCAAGTCATAAAGCCTTTTGGACTTTCGACCGCAGACAGCCCCTCGCGAGACCCGCCTCGGAACCTCGTCCCTCTCGTGCTGCTGCACTGCGTGCCTCCGCACCTCCGCGAACGCCAGCGCCCGCGCGCACACCCTCGACGCCTTCCAGGCTCTCGGTGTCCGAGTACTTCACGGCGCAACGCCTGAAGCGCAGCTCGCAGCGCGCAAGCCCCAGCTGTCCTCGAGCACCAAACCACCAGATCATGGATCCTAGGGAACTCTTTGGTGAAGAGGGCGAGGTGGACGAGTCCATGGAGGGTTCTCCAAACCGAGGAGATGAGGAGATGCGTCCCCACTCACGTGACGCTCCCCGAGTCGCGGCGACGCTTCACCCACATCCCCGACGCGTCGTGAATGGGACGCGCCGGTCCCAGTTCGCTCTCCGAGCCGTCGCGATCCAGACCGCCCCGCGCTCACGGCTCCTGTGCGCCCGCCGAGCCGTCCTCCTGCAGAGCGCGCTGCGCCGCCGAGGGTGGAGCCGCGACCACCGCTGAGGACTCCGAATCCGTTCCCTCAACGCTCCTCTGGTCTCTACGAGATGCGCGCGCTCACTGAGCCACGATATTCACCGCCTCGTGGTGAAGACGGGCCCCTGGGCCCTGTCGTCTCCAACCGCTTGGAAGAAGCTCAGTCCGAGCAGGTCGCGGCGCAGACGGCTCCCATGCACTCCCAGCGCCCTGAACTGTGGTCTCTGCTGAACCCCAGCGTTGCCGACTATGGCTTCCGGCCAGCGGTCCCTCGCGCTGGACCCGATTGGGCCCGCGGCCCGTACTCCGGAGGAGCTCGCACTGGGTACGTCTCTGCGACAGCGACTCCTCACTCCACAGCCTACGACTGTCGCGGAGTATCGCGAGCGGTTTCGGCTGCAAACCCAGCAAAAGTCCGTGCCCGCCATGCGGACGCACCCGGTGGCACTCAACCCGAGAGAGGACTCGATCGAGTACGACGCTCAGTTTGAACGCTGGGCGAGAACAGCCGGAAGCTCAGCTCCATGGAAGCTCTCCGAGCCATGTGACGAGACTGAACGAGGTTTTGCCTCAACTGGTCATCACCTGTCTACTGACCCGACTGAATCCGACATTCGGATTGGCCAAGACTGAACCCGGACCCGGCTGCGCACCGAGCGACACGATCTGAGCTGAGAATCGGCTGTGTTCCGCGGAGCGAAGTGCGCTCAAGCCTAGGATGGACCCTTCAGGCCTGGAAGTCTGCGTTCAGACGAGAAACCCTGAATGCACTCGATCCGTCCAGGCCGCCCCCGTCCTTAAGCGGGTTGACACATTGAGGCCGTCAAAAACACCTGCACGAACGTATCGTGTATGGTGTCCCGCCTCGCCCTGAACGCACATAGAATTCGTGTACCCGGAGCTCAGCCACCCCAGTGAAGTCGTGTCCATGGTGTCCAGACCGCTGACCACCCGGAAGAAGTCCCGCCAAGTGCCCCACGACTAAGTGAAGAGTCAACCTACCCTTGGCCACAATGACTTGGGTATGGTTTCAGCCTTGGGCACAAGTTGCCTTTGGCCGCAGACCTTGGACGCACTGCGTTCAGGCCTGCCGACTCTGAAACCCGGTTTCAAGGATGCGGGTTCAAGGGAACCTTGGTCGCATGCGGCCAAGGTTTCCCAAAAGCCAGTCATGCACAAAGACACGGGTTAGAGCTGGGGAAGAATCCGGTAGAAAGTGTCTAATTCAACCGTTCCAGTATACTAAAGTCAAGATATTCACCAGACGCGTGGCGAATAACACAGAAGAACGCTACGAGAGAGATATCTTTACACAAAGCCTAGCGATAGTCTAGCAGATAACAATCAGAGAGTTCGTTTTACCCCCTACTGCGCAAGTCGTCGAGGGATCGGGTCCGCTGTCTTTAAGGACAAGGGCAGTGCGGAGCTCTCCACACACATTCAAATCCAGTTACGTGGGGATCAGTTTGCTCCGGCTGCTGAAGTGATCCACGTATTCCATTTCCCAGCTGGGCCCTGCATGGAGGTGAGGGTGGTGTCCCATTTTATGTTAACGATTGATATCTCGGGTGGTTCGGTAGCAGTCGCCCCCGGGAATAGTTTGATTGACTGCGTTTAGGATCGGATTGCATTTGGTCTGTATATTTCCCTTATCTGAGGGTGGTGCGCGTATGAAAGTGCGTTCAAGGTTGACCAGTACCTTGATCGCAGATTAGTTGACTGGTATACGTCCCACCGGCCGAGGGTCTAAGAACAACTAGCGGCTGTGTATTTGTGCATAAGTCTGCATTTGTATTGGTTACCTGAAAGTGGTGTGTATTTCTGGGGTTCTAACTCGTGGTAGTAACCCTGATTCTTCACCCACTTTTCGAACTTCAGCCATTTGGGAGAAGTGCGTTCAGACAAGTGAACGTTATGCTCGGCGAACTCAAGGCTTTCAACCACACAGACAACTCACCTGGTGATCGATCCAGGCTCCCCGAAGATAAACGACACCGATAGGGATTCATAAGGTGCCACGCCACCCTGGCCGCATTTTCCCCAGAACCTGCGTTCAAGGAAATCTGCGTTTAGAGTTTACCTCCCCAAAACGGTTTACTCGTAACACCTTTCTGGGCTACCGCTATACACCTGGGCGTAAAAGGTTTCACCGACCTCGTCACAGCCAGCTTCAGCGAAGTGGATGTTCGTATCGAACGTAAGCTCCGCTTCGCATTCGCGAAGGTCCGAGCCATGCGCAGCCTTTCGGCGATCTCCCAACCGCAGCCCCAGTTTAGCGCTGCACGCTTCGCTCCTTCGAGCACTCCAGGCGCTCCTCTCCGCAAGGGAGTGAGCGCTGTGGCTCAGGGTCAGCCTCGGAGCAATGTGGCTGACCCACCAGCTTATTGCCGGGAAGCGCGGGACGGCCGGCGTGCCGGCCTTGATCCCATGGGGCGCTGGTGATCAAGCCGATCAAAAGCGTTCACGACGTCTGGGCAGTCTTGGCGGAGGGACACCTCAAACTCCCATGAGTTGTCGGAGTGAGGGTACCCTCGCCATTTCACCAGATACTGGTTTTGACCCCGGCACCGCCGCTTTGCCAGGAGGCGCTCCACATGGTAATGCAGATCCCCATGGTCATCGAGCAGAACCGGTGTGGGGCCCGTTGCGACTAAAGGTGAGCACCTTGAGACGCGACAGCAGGCGATCCGCCTTCGGGACCACGTCCACGACATCGACGCGCGTCTGACACGTTGTGCGACTGGTCTCGACGAGCTCGCGGAGCGGGTGGATGGGCCTGGTGTACCTCGCGAGGTCTGGGACCGGCTTGGAACCTTGGGGGGGGCTTCGTCCGTCTGAACGGGTGGGGAACTACTTTCGCGATCGCGAAGAGCGACACGCTCGAGAGTTCTTGGTTCTACAGCGTGATCAGGCTGTACTTAAAGGCCAGATCGAACTCCTGGCCCGCATGCAGGCCCCGCCTGCTGCGCCTCGCGCGCCGGTTGCTGCGCCTCGCGCGCCGGTTGCTGCGCCTCGCGCGCCGGTTGCTGCGCCTCTTGTGCACCTTCGGCTGTGGGCCCTGTGCGTGCGGCACCTCCGGCGTCGACCCTTCCGCCTGTACCTGCGGTGCCCGCGTCGATGGTCGCGTCTTCGGCGCCTGCGACTGCGTCCTCGACGACCGCGACCTCCGCGCCTGTGACCTGGTCACCCTCGGTGCCTCCATCCGCACCTGCATCGGGTCCTGGTACGGCTTGAGCAAGCCCATGTAGAAGACGGGGTGCGTCCGCATCTTTCTCGGAAGATTGAGCGTGTACGCAAGGCCCTTCTTGGCCACAACCTTGAAAGGTCCGATGAAGCGCGGGAGCAACTTTGTCTTAAAGACGGCTGACACTGCATCTGTAGGTAGGTTTCTAGCATTAAGCAGCACCAGGTCACCGACCTCATAACTTTCAACATTGCTTCTGCCCCTGGCATCTGCATGTTCGTTTTGCTTATCTTGGCTCTCAGCCATCGCGTCACGGATATGTCGCAAGACACTCAGACGCGTCGACAAGAAAGCGTCAACCTGTTTACGAACAGTAGCTGGGCTGATATCGGCTAGCCGATCAGCTAAATCGACCCCCCCCCCTCCCCCATCAAGCCCGAGGCCACCACGTGGCGGCGTCAGTGGGACGCGGGATGAGACAAACTGTTCACGTAGAACGGCGTGTAGCCTGTTGAGGCGTGCACGGCGTTGTTCAACACAAACTCAACGAGTGGCAACATGGCGCTTCGGCGTCTCGGCGCAAATGCTGCGGAGCACGTCCTCGACGACGCGATTAACGCGCTCGGTCTGACCATCGGTCTGCGAATGGTCCGCCGAGGACATGTCCAGCTTGGTGCCAAGCACCGCAAAGACCGCGCTCCAGAAGTTGCCCGTGAAGCGGGGGTCTCGGTCCGAGACAATCGACTCAGGGAGTCCGTGTTGTCGAAACACTCGGTCCAAGAACAGCATTGCTGTACCTTTACCATCGATGGTATCCGGCACAGCTGCAATGTGAGCCATCTTGCTCAGTCGGTCAACGAAGACCACGACTCCTGTATTGCCCGCCGCATCCGCCGGCAGACCAAATACAAAGTCAATACTCATGGATTGCCAGCAGCCTGCAGGGACAGGCAAACTCGCCAACGGCGCTGCGGCATCAGGTGACGACTTCACTCGCTGACACGTCTCGCACGTGCGCACATAAGTGCTCGTCCACTTGTACACATGAGCCAGTTAATAATCCGGCCTGCGCGACAGCGCGTCCGCAGGGACATTCTGCCTGCCAGGCTTGTACTTCACCTCGAACTTGTACTCCGCAAAGAAGGACATCCAACGGGCCATCCTTTGCGAGAGGTGAGGCGACTGAGTCTCAGTGCGTAACGACACATGATCCGTGTAAATCACGAACGGCTGAGAGCCCAACAGGAGGGCCCTGAACTTGACGAGCGCGTACTTCATCACAAGTAACTCTTTGTCATGGACAGGATAGTTATTCTCCACGGCCTTCTGCCGGCGAGATTCGAGGGCCACCGCACGCTCGCGCACCGCGGCGCCAGCTTGCAGTAGGTCACAGTCGAGGACAAAGACCGAGGCGTCACAGACGACACTAAACGGATGCGTGGGGTCTGACAAAGCCAGAATAGGCGCATGAAGGAGACTGCCCTTAATTGCCGCAAACGCATCTTGATGCTCGGTGTCCCAACACCACTCCGCATCCTTCTTCAGGAGATTGGAGAGTAGACCAGCCATCTCAGCGTAGTTCTTGCTGTACTTGTGCAAGTAATTGGCCAAGCCAATCCACTTGCGAAGATCCTTCTGGTTCTTGGGAACCGGCCAGTCAATAATGGCCTTGACCTTGACCGGGTCGGCCCTCGGGCCACGCTTCCCGATGAAGCACCCTAGAATTGGGATCTCTTCCGCTCCGAAGATGCATTTGTCAATGTTGGCGTACAACTTGTTTTGAAGCCTGCACTAGAGTACAGCAAGGGGGTGCTCCACGTAGTTCTCTATGTCAGTCTTCCTGTGCTCCGCACGACGCTGGACAAAGATGTCATCGAAGTACGTTTGTGCGTACGCCCGACGGGGCCAGAACCGTTGCGTCACAAGACGGTTAAACGTCTCTGGCGCGTTCGAAAGCCCTTTTGGCATAACCAACTACTCCCAGAGCATGCCGCTCGGATTACTCACCGCAGAGAGGGGAATGTCGCTCGTCATCATGAACAATTGGTAATATTCATCGACCCAGTCGAGCGCACTGTACATCGTACACCCTGCCATGTTGTTCTGAAGAACATCCTTTCGATGAATCGGCGTCTGTGCCGAAATGGTAGCGGCATTCAGCTTGTTAAAAGTATGCGCGATACGCCACTTGCCAATTGGCTTTCTGACACAGAACGTCGGCGTAGAGTGTGGAGACTTGGTCTCACGCACCACACCCGCCTCGTGCATCACACGGAAGAACGCATCAATGACGTCGCACTGCTCCTTCGGTAAGGGCCTCTGCCTCGTCACGCTGTACTTCGTTCCCGGAACGAGATCGATTTC